TCTTGCAATCCAGTACCGAGAGCTCTCAATGCTTACCTACCTCACTGGCTCCTAACCACTCACCTGCCTGCCTGAACTACTTATCTGCTCTCCCCTCCTGGCCTGATCCTCCTGCCTATCTGCTCTCCCTTCCTCTCCATACTCTTCAGACCTCCAGTGCAGGCGTACTGAGAGCTCTCTGCCACAGCCCCACCCCCATCCTGATTGGTTAATATGTGATGGTGTCCCTGACCTGACAATTTGCATATTTCTTATTATTAGTATAGATATAAAAAATATATGAGAATTCTTTATTCTTTACTCAATCATTTTTTATGGCTTCATGAATAGTCATACTTTGTGTTATAATCCAACACTACTTCATTTTGTTGCTCAAGTTGTTCCAGCTTTGGCTATTTGAAAGTACTTCTTTACTTTTCTGTTGCAACAAGATGTTCCAGACTCATCTTGTGCTGTCTCTATCCCAGAAATAGAATCAGCCATTTCTACAAAGAGTTTTGGTTCCTTATAGTGGAGAATAGTATTGAGAATCAAGATCTGAGCACTGGGTACACTTGTTGCTACTGGCATGTCATTATATCCAGGCCTTCTCAGTGGACAGAGCTAGGATATAAAGGATGTGGTAATAGTCCTGTATTAGTTTCATTACTAAAAACATTACATAAAATGTGTGTGGTTAGGGAAATGAATCGAATCACCACAAATAAGTCTTATGAGGAAACACCACATGGGACCAGGGTATTGACAATATTCTTTCAAGCTCTGACACTGATTTCTACAACTGGAAATTAACGCTCATTCTTACCCTCACTTCCTCCCGAGGCTTCTGTGAAATTTGGAGTGTGTAAACAGCCTCTCTAATTCACTTGCCTCATCTTGAAAACAGTACCAAGAGCTCTCAATGCTTACCTACCTCACAGGAAACTTGAGGTTGGATGAGATAAGGTGTTCAAATACTTTGAGCTATCACAAAGACAGGTGCTTATGTAGGCAGGATATTATGAGTCCTGGAATATCAAAAGATAGTAAAAAGCTGTCTCTGCCTTTTGATCACATAGGAATTTTGATACTCTTGAACTATTACTATTCCCTGGTCTGCTGTAGAATGAGAGTTTCTCCCCTAGCAATATTCATTTGAGCATTTTTTTTTCATGCCTTCTGTCAAACAAGGTTTCCCTAGCCTTTGATTTTTATCAAGATTTACTTGCCTTTATTCTTCAAAGCATTTAATTCAAAGTTCACTCTATCAGTGGGTGGATTAGTTAAGTAACTGAAATAACAGTGTTAAATGCCATAACAGTTTGTTATAATATTTCTCTTCACAAGAGATATGCTTACCAAAGTCATGTACTAACGAACAATGAAGTGACTGTCTAAGTAGCAGACATCTTTAAAAGAAAGTTCTTGGTAAATCTGAGTGGAAATAATACGCGACAGCACTCTGAAACGTTCATTCAATGCCTCTGAAGTACTCTTGTAAGGCCATGATTATGTGCTGGGTACAGGATTAGGTGCTAGGAATTTGGAAGAGAAAACACATGTCTTTTCCCTCATGAAGCTTATATTCTGCCAGACAAATGCCACATTGTATTTTAAATTCTGCACAACTGTTCTTATGAAGAGGAATTTGGAGGTTACTGATAGTATCCACTGTGGGAGATTGGGTAGTTGATTGCTGTTATTCTGAAAAAAATTCACCTTTTGTTCCCCCAAGGTTGGGGAGAAAACTACAAAGTCACCACCAATCAGAGTCACAAAGGGCAGTCAGTGGAAAAAGTTGCAGGTTTCGGGAAAGATGAGCTGCCTCAGTGTGTAAGAAGACCTTTCTGAGAACTTGAAGTTATAAGAAATCAGACTGAAAGTTCTAAAAACAAACAACCTAAAAATAGAAAAAAACACCCAAGCAAAAATTATATCAAACAGAGGCTGGCCATTCATGGCTCTCATGACTTGGGGAAGTGGCTTTGGCCTCTGGAAGAAGGTGGGAATAGAATGCCTTTGAGGTTCCTTCCTCCCCGAAGGACCATAAAGTAAATACAGCAATTTCAAAGTAAGATGTTCTTTAAAGAAAGATTTCTCAGCAACCAAATACACCCACGATGCTAATATTCTATTTATATTTTAAAATGACTTAACAATGATCTCAAGCTAGAGATGAGTAGAGAAAACAAACAGGCCTTGTTCACTACTGAAGAGAGAATAAAAATATAGCTCTTATCAGATAATTTGTCTCGACTGAAACTCATTAGAAAACTTCACTGGTCATATGTCTGTCAAAATTAATAGGTAAACTGCTAATTGGTCAATGATCAGTCTGGCCCGCACCCCCCGACCTCCCTCCCACCCATCACCATTCCCAACTCCCTGGAAATCTTGTTAAAATTTTCCCTTTGCTTTTGCCTTCCTGCTCTAATTAATTTGCCACCCACATTTCTGATTTCAGAGCCAACTTCAGACAACTCTTGTTTCATCTTATGATAACTTGCCACTCCTCTCATCTATACTTTATCATAAATAAGACCTCTTTGATTGGCAGCCTCTGAGTTGACTGGCACATAGGCACTGAGTCCCAAGGTAATGAGTATGTAATTGTATCAGTTCCTCCGAAGGTGAATGAAAAAATGCCTCTGAGAAAGACATTGTCTGTGTTTGTGGTGAGACATCAAAGGAGGAGTTCTTAATTTGGTCCCTTAAGAGGAGTCCAAGTAAATCTATGGCAGAATCCATGGTACAGTTACACATGACGACCGGCTCACCTTGCAGCCACCTAAGTTGGGTTGTCTCTTAATGTTTCTTGTGCTTAAAACCACCTCGGGGGTTGGTGACAGTAAGGGCCTTCCTTAGTTGCTAACACTTTTGGACAAACTGTTTTCTTGGAGCTTTAATTATAGCTTTATAGCTAGTCTCTTATTAAATCCTTGCAATGACCCTCTTAAGAAGGTCCTATTATTACCATTTTGCAGGGTCTGGGACTTAGCAGAGTTAGTGAGGGTGACACCCCTGGGACTGGAACCCACAAAGGTGTGGCTGCAGGGATGGATGAAGACAGAAAGATGTGACTATGGGAGGGGGCTTGGCCATCACAGGTTTGCCTTTCTCCTAAGCACTACACTGCCTTAGGAGATCATTTTCACCTATTCTTAACATATAAGCATTTATTTTCTACTTTTACATTAGGAAAATGTTTTATAATTCAGCTAAAGTTTCTACTTAATGCATTCGGATATTGTGAAGTTCCAAAAAAGTTCCTCTCTATCTGTCAGGTTTTGCTAAAGAAGGACCAGCAAGTGAGCAGTTTACTTGAAACAGGATGATGAGGGAGACACCTCTCGATCTGAAGGGGACAAACATGGAGAATTTGCAATGGTGGGGCAGACAGAGCACTGTCTTTTCATGCTTTCTGCTGAACTGGAATGGGTGTTGGCACATTTGGAGATGTGGCGATTAGCTTGTGAGAGGAGATGTGTGGTGTAAGGAGACATGTTCTTTGCTTGAGTCATAGTCCCAGGGATCAGTGGAGGGCTAATTAGTGGGGAATTAAGCCTATGGGAGACTCCAGATGGAAGATTTGGGTGCCTTATATAATTAAAAAATAATACCAATCTATAGAATGTAAATCCTACACATACTGGAATTAATGTGTTTTCTTTTTTCTCATTGAAAAATAAGGTCTCTCTCTCTCTTTCTAGTGCATGTGTGTGTATGTGTGTATATGTTTGTTGTTAGACTAAGCTTTGTTTAGTTTTATCAACCAAGTAATCCAGAACTCAGCAGTCAAAAGGTAAGGTTGCAGAATACCAATTAATTGAAAAAAGTAAAAAGAGTTAGCTAGCCCTGGCCAGTGTGGCTAAGTTGGTTGGAGCATCATCCCATACACTGAAAAGTTGAGGGTTCAATTCCCAGTCAGGACACATACCCAGGTTGTGGGTTTGATCCCTGGTCGAGGTGCTAATGGGAGGCAACCAATCATTTTTCTCTCCCACATCAATGTTTCTTTCTCTCCCTCTCCCTTACTCTCTTCCTCTAAAAGAAAAAAAAGAAAAAGAAAAAAAGAAAAAAAAAGACATCTCAAACTGAATGTCTAACAGTACTTCACTAGGAAACAATGTATTAGACCAGTGCCTTGCAAACTGTTCTGGAAACCCCTAACATCCTGGGAGAGAAGGTTCTGGGACTATTAGGAAGTGTGATGACAAGGAAGCAGGAAGGGGAGGGAGGCCCAGTGTTCCTCACTCCTGGCCCACTACAGAGTATTTCCACTTGGATCTGTTTTATGTATTCAAAGGCCTACGTAAGATTTTGTTTGGAAATGGGGTTCTGCTGCTGAAACAAAATGAAAGCTTCGTATTGTATAATGATCATTTCAACGCAGGTTACTGATCAGAAACTGACGCTGGAAATAAACCCCATGAATCAATGCAACAAATCTCTACTCTTTGTGAGAACAGAGGTTAGCCTTCATCCTATCTTTACGTGCCCAGGCAGTTGGCAGAGTCCTACCTCCTATAGGAATTAAGTAATGTGTTGGCTAAATGCATGTTTTCCCCTACAAACAGTGCGAGTTATCGACTGCTTCCCAGGAAGCTCACGGCAGAAAATTAAACAACAGATTATTTTCACTGGTGTTGATAAGACTTCTGGTACATTTAGTTCAACACCCGGTTCTCTACTCCAAGCATTTTATTTTAGTAATTGATTTGGATTGAAATCAATCTACAGTGGAATCATATCTACAGATTTTTCTTGAATTTAATTTCTTGGAATGCGTTGCTGCGTGATATAGCAAAAGTGTTGAAGTATTCCAGGCATGCTATTCTAACCTCCCAGAGAAACTCTGAGTGACTGATTTGGGGATTATGGCAATTTTGCTCTCATAATTGACTGTTTTAAGAAACACTTTGGGTATCATAAATTACAAAAGAAAAAAAAATTTCATTGCTTCCTTTCCAGTCTTCAGTATTTCAAAAATATATATAAAATCCACGATATAATACTTTATAATTCAGAAGCTTGACCCACATTTAATTAAAAAATAAGAAATACAATGTAACTTATACAAGTATGTCACAGAAAATAACACACCTTACCATAATAAAAAAAAAATCTTGTCCTTTAAAAACTCAAACATCTTTTCTAATAACCAAGACTATGTACAATCCAATATAAACCATTTTCATACAACTATTGTTAACAATGAAGCAGTTACACATAAACATGTAAACATTTAAAAACGGAACTGTCTTTGAAATGTAAGTCAGCTCCATCTGCATTATAGTTTAAGATGAATAGAACACTGAAGAAAACTACTAAGATATAAATGATGATCAGTTTAATGACTGTTCAATAATTCACTCTTTAAAAAGCAATGAGTTTTGATAAATTCTGACCCTCAGGAACAGACATTTTTCCTGACAACGCCCTTCTCCTTTCTTCATGGTATAGCACTCTATATGGTAAGGTTGTTCCTCATTCATGGCAACATAGGTGGTTATAGTCAAATGGCATTTGACATAAATTGTTCCAAACTACCTTATAATTTCATTTTGTATTAACTTCTTGATAGGCGGCTGAGGTGCTGAAATAAGCCTAAAGAAATATCTCAGTATTTAACCTATCATACATGAAATAAATAAGGAGCCTTTCATTCTTTAATAAATAGTACCAGGTAAGCCCTAGCCAGTTTGGCTCAGTGGACAGTGTTGGCCCTTGGACTGAAGGGTCCACTTTCCATTCTGGTCACATTACCTAGGTTGCAGGCTGGTCAGGGCGCCTGAGGGAGGCAACCACTCAATGGCTCTCTTTCACAATGATGTTTCTCTGTCTCTCCCCTTCCTTCTTCTCTTAAAAAAAAAAAAAAATAGTACCAGGTAAAATACATTTTGTAGGACCTAAAGGGTAAAGATAAAGCATCTATATGTATAATAGAGAAATATGCTAATTACCTGGGACGCTATAATGGGTCGACCAGACAGGAGATTGCACCTGCATCAGGGTGGGGTGGCAGGGGCCTCCGAGCCTATGCTGGGGGAGGGCCTGATCAGCAGTGGCCGTGGCTGCTGTGGGGCCCGGGGAGTGAGACAGGGCCAGACCCGCGACTCGTGACTTGAGGGTGGGCAGCACTGCGCGATTTCGAATCTCGCACTGGGCTAGTTTATAATAAATGGATTTAGTTTTTGATGTATATGCACGCCCATTTAAAAGAAGTCAGGGGGCACTAGAGACAGCTGAGGAAGATTTAATAAAACCCACTAAGAGTTGGAATGCATGACATTTTGAAAAATTGTTTACCTAAGGTGGTGTTTGTAATAAAATGTTTTCTTTGTCCTTTGCATAAAAGTTCTCACTTTGCATCAATTAAAAATACTATCTTAATGCTGTTGTGATGTAAATGTAATTTTCTATTATCTTTAGGTCATCAGAATTATATCATAAAGTACCTATTTTGTTGCTCCAATTATTTTATCAAGTATGACAGCTAACCTTTGTTTCAAGTTTGTAGCCTTCATATACCAAGAAACAGATTAAAAAGACAAGTGAAAAGCCATCTCATAAAAAGCTGAAATGTCTTTTATTATATGGCATATTTTTCTCTGTCATAAGCTTTCAGTTTAGAAAATGGAGAAACACTTCTTTTTTTAAATCCTTACCCGAGGATATTTTTCCATTGATTTTTAAAGAGTAGAAGAGAGAGACAGAGAGAAATATTGAGAGAAACACATCAATTGGTTGCAACCTGACCACGGCCCAGGCTGGGAGGAGCCTGCGAGGAAAGCATGTGCCCTTGACCAGAAACAAACCCAGAGCCCTTTGGTCAGCAAGGCGAAGCTCTACCCACTGAGCCACATCAGTGAGGGCACAAATACTCCACTTCTTTTGATGAACTACTTAGCAAGTGTTTAGCTCAGTATTTTTAGAGCTGACACCTTTGGAAACTGTTTTATTTGGAAATTCTGATTAGATTATTTCTGCTCTTGTTTACAAGAAGTACTTATATAAAAATGGATTTTTTTGTTGTTGTTCCTATAAGGTACTCTTGCTATTTATTCCTCACTTGATTTCATAATTCTGTTTGGTTGCTATGGAGATTACCTCCTATGGAAATGATTCCGATGTCATTATTGTAAGAATACGACTTTTAATGAATAATATCAATAGCAGATATCAACCCTTACTAGAAGAAGAAAATCTAACACTTTTAAAAGGGGGATTAATTCTGAAAGTTATTATCATGGCTCACATTTCTGATTTTTTTAATTGACCACCTGCTTTTAAAAGTATTAAATTTATATTAAGATGTTAATCAGCTGCTCCCCTAAATTCCTATGTCACAATGAAAATTAGCACCATGCATAGAAAAATGGAAGTAAAAAATATTTCATCTACCTTTTCTCTAAACTATAATAATAAATGTGCTTCATTATGAGAGTTAATGTCTCCTGGATTTCAGAGCTCATCAAGGAGCACATTACAAATTCCCTTTAAAGATGAAGAATTTAATATCCCAAAATTTATCCCAGGAATTTAAAAGGTCAGTGAGTTAACTAGTGAGTTAAACAATAGAGGAGAGCCAGTGAACCATTAGATGAGAATTCCAGAATGCTAAGAAGAAATTTTCTTGGGTGGATTCTATAATTTGTGGTTTGAATAAAACTTTTGAAAAATTCCATTAGTATTAAAATTCTCACAATGAGAATATGGTTCATATTTAACCATTTTAAATTACTAGACAATCTCTCCCCAAAGAAAACTTAATGCTTTCTTCTGCCTAGTTCTTGTTCACTGCCTGGTATTAATTTAGGAATAAATTAACCCTTCCAACAATTAGAATATTGTCTAGAGAATGCCACTTGCATTCTGCTGGGGAAAATTACTTATATTCTCAATATCAGAATAAAAGAGAAGTGCATTTCTTCATTATAAAACATTTTATACCTAATAGCTTATTCATTATTGATTTAAACCTACATAATTTCATATTACTCCATCTACAGCGTTTCTAAATCAAACCTCACAGTTACACATTTTGTTAATGTTTTATGCATTAAGGGTTTTCTATACTTGAGCCTGCAACCAGGATCTAGGGTCCAAAATGTCTTTGATAGATTTCTGCCTTGGAGTTGGCACTGGCTTTGCTTCAAAACTGGTTTTAGTGTCTGTGTTTTCACCATCAGTTAAGCTATTTTTCCAGACAGGAAGAAGTTTTCGAGGAGCAGCCTTTGGTTTCTGTAAGTGATGCATTAGGGTTGATAATTTGGTATCCAAAGAAGAGGTCTGAGGTGCACTGGTTTCCCCCTCGTTTTCCTTAACCAATTGATCTGTAGTGCTCTGTGTTTTTAGGCTGAAAGGAGCTTTATCAGGAGGAGGAGGGGGAGCCCGTCTCTTTTTCCTTTTTCCATCAGGTAACTGCTTGCTTTCAGGAGAGAGAATCTTTTTCTGGATGACCACCTGATGGTTACCATCAAAGAGTGCAGCCCAAGGAGGTGGTGAGGGCTCTTCATGCTGACCAGTAAGGAACTCTCCATTTGTCTCTTCGATTTTTTTTTGTATTATGTCAGTTAAACTTTCAAGTTCTATAGGTGAGTCAATACCTGTAACAATTTTAAGAAATACATGGGAAAAATTCAAAACAGATACTTATATTATTTTCCAAACCAATATGCTATCTATAATAGCCATCAAAAACAGATTAGGGTAGAAAGTGGTTTTTAAAAAATAATTTACTTATCAACAGAACCAAATGGGAGATCACGCACTATGCACTGCACACTCATGTACACACATATGTATGTATATGCATATATACATGTATTCCTAAGTAAATGAGTAATATCCAGCTTACAAAGGAATAGAGTTATGTCAGAATTTTTTTTCAATTGCTTTCCTGGATTTAAAATCTATTCTGACTTCTAGGTAATAGTGGATTCCATTTTTATAAAAGCCTGATATGTAAACTGGGGCAAATACAATGGAGTCTTTTCTTTAGACCAGCAGGTCCCTTAATAGAGTAAAAATCCATCCCCAAAACCCAGAGAAACAGAATGAAGCCTTGAAACCATTTTGGTGATAAGAATGGTGGGTGAAATTTTCCCTGGATAAAAAAACAGAGATAAATGTGTAAACTTAATGTATCGTTTTTAATCTAACATTTCAAGTACATGTGAGTGCAGGGACATTGGGGACAAAAAAGACTAGAATTTAATCTTGTACTTTTTCACAACACTGTTCACCAAGGCAATCCTACAAAGATAATACCCTTCAAAGTATGAGAAAATGAAATATTGAGTCTAAAAATTTTAAATTTTCCAAAGCATTAAACATCACCAATTTTTTTTGCCTGATACAAAAGCATCCCTTTATTAATACTTGATTTATCAACACTATTTTAATACTGAACATTATATTTTACAATCCGCAACTTCACATTTTCAGAATTTTTATAAGCTACTCAGCTAACATTTATTTTAGTGCACCTTCATCCCATTTTGAAACCTTACCGTTTCTGTTTAAGCATTCAAACTACAAAAAATGTGTATTCATTAATTTTGTATTAATTCATCTATTAAACATGAGTTCCTTAGTCTATAATGATAGTCTTTTTCATTTTCATTGTGCCTGAAAATTTTAGCATTTTAATGTCAATAGAATAAGCTGCTTGAATATGGACAATGTTGTTTTTGTTAGCCTGCAGCTTAGAAAAGACAGTCCTCACTTACTCATATCATGGTAGACTGAGGTCGCGTCTTTTGTCAAGAACAAAGGTGGTTTCCGTGGTGACATAATCTCAATTTTCATAAGTTCTTCACAACAATGCTTCCACTGGCCTAAGAAAGACAGAAAAGGCAGGCTAATTTAAAGTATAAATGTGAAGTAGTATATTTCATTTTTAATAGCAACACATTTTTTTGCTTTGAAAATAAAGCATTACCTTAAGAAAGCCACAAAAATATATTATTACCCATAATTTTAAAGTCCAAGTCTAGGCATAAAAGTTACCTATTTTATAAATAAACTTCAATGCACAGATGTTAAGCTAAGATCTCTAGGCTATTAAGTACTGTACTACTTCATGAAATGGTTAATAACTAAAATTTCTATTTCTGGCAAAAGTTTGTACAAATTATTTTCTTTTAAATATTAAACAGAAATGTCCTAAATTAAGGCAGTTAAAAAAATCAAATGAAATACAGTTCTAGGAGGAAGTAGGAAAAAAGTAAGGAATAGTGGTTCACAAAAATGATTTCAACTCAGAATTCTAATTAAATAAAAATTGGTGGTTTTACAATTACCTCTTCAAGGCGATTGTGTTTTTTAAAAAATCATGCAACTCTAGAAAAATAATGAATTTTAAGTAAAAGGTATATAAAAGCTATTACTATAAAAACAGAACACTCAAAATTCTAACAGGAAGGACACTTTAAATAAAGCCATTAGGCATTCAGAATAAAAAATAAAACCTACACACCTCTTGAATAAGTTATTTCAAATTAAGTTAGACAACATTAATATTTCTTTTATTGTGTTTTACTATTTTCATCTTAAAATTCTCAGATTTATTTCTTCTGAGTGGATATAAAAAACCTTAAGCTTTATATATTTATTGTGCACCTGCAAGTTGGATAACAACTGTGTAAGAAACTGACTATATAAACTTATATAATACGAATATAAAGTTATTGAGGTTCACCATTCTTAAATTCTTACATCAATAGAAAAGTAAATGTAATACACATGTGCCTTTTTAGACTGATTTATGATCTGTATTTCTTTTCATTTTAATATATTCTCAATCTCCATATTTAATACCCATCTGAGTTATTTTCCATGGCTTAAAAATTAAAGACATTTCATGTTTAGTCAAATTAGCTATTCATTTCTGTTGTTTTAAGTGTGTCATAGCAATTTGGTAATATATGCATAAATTTTAAATCCATCACCTTAAATAGTTAAGCAACATGAAAACCTTTCAGTATGTTTTATTATAATGCTAAATACAGACTATCATAAAAATTTCAAAATAACTCACATAGCTACTCATAAAGGGAATACAATCTTGAGTTTGAGGCTTCAAAGGTAGCCCTGCAGAATTTAAATCTAGTAGGATCTGAGATCTGATAACTTATTCCTCCCTTCCACTTCCTTTTTTAGATAAATATATAAAAGGCAGCTTTTCCTTCTTGAGGGCAGGAAAAAAGGCCATATCTAATGGAAAAATAATGAAACACTTTAAACTAGCAAACATTTCTCTGTCAAATCTTACACAAATTATAAAGTGCAGTATTTTCTCTATATTGGTAGATGAAAGCTTTTGATGGTTAAACTGGTAGAATACTAATCATGCTGAAAATGGGGATATAAAGCCACATTATCCCACATGTTACTGAAATCTGAGGTACAAAAAGATGGTATGTTCACTGGTCAAGACTTTACAACTGAAACATTTTACAAGTGAATAAATTAGTATGCACAGTTATACATGCTACCAATATGCTAACACAAAAATAAAGACCCAGTATAAAATATTAAATGATTGTTCTAGTCACACAAAATCTGTATATTGAAGATGTTTCCCACACTATTTATCGTTATAATATTCCCACTAATATAATCTGTTATGTTAAGCTGCTTATGTAACTCAATATTCATATTAAATATTTAAAAATTATTTTTGACCTACCATTACTAGCTCTATCCTTTTTGATCATCCAAGACAAGTAGCATTCCTCTTTTACATGTTTGTTAGCTTTCAAATATTAATAGCTATGAATAGTACCAGGTGGGTGCTGGAAATATCTTTGTAAAGTATATATGATTGTCTGACTACTGTTCTGTATGCCTGAAACTGATACAAAATAATACTGGATGTAAACTATAATTTAAAAAATGATTAAAATAATTATATTGGAAAAAAATTTAAAATTAACTATTCCATCCCCTTTACTTCCCAACCTCCACTCAACAGTGTTCTGCAGGCTAAGCACAACTAGTTCCATTCTACTCTTAAATGGAGTCAAATTATTGAAAATGGCTCTAAATGTTAAATTACTCTTTATTTTGCCCTGAATTTCTATTCTCTACTTTGTTCTACACACATTATTTCTCCTATAATCACAAGAGGCTATACTTATCACTTGGGAGGTAAAAATTTTAAAGTTCAAGTCAATCTTTAGGATACCATATCTCTATACACAATGAATTCTAAAGTACAAATGTAATATAGTTTATACTTTAAAAATCAGATAGATAGGTAGATTTTACCCCTTCCCCCAAACATTAAGTACTAAATAAATAGCCAGACCTGAGAACCTTGCTTGTTATCACTTTCTTGTTACTTTGAGAGTACAGAAACGCCAGGAGATTCTTATCCCTCTAATTTTTAGCATGATAAATTATTTTACACTATCTGGAGAATGAAAACATGAGATCATCTAGAAGAAGTTGATATCCAAACTATATAATATCCTGGAATTTTTACTTTCTTTTACATTTTCTCCCTGTTTTTATGTATATAAAAATCTTAAATACCAAAATAATTTTCTAAAAATAATAGTGTTTTATAAGACAGATTCTCTAAATTATAGCATTTAGGGAAGCAGTTAAAATTTTAGCTGTGATTAGCAAACAAAAGGAAGTTGTTGTTCTTTAGGCAACACACCTATGATAGCTGAAGTTTTAAAAGAAAAAAGTGTAGTACACACTGATAAGCAGGGAACAAATATTTAAACATCTACTGAATGCTGAGGGATAGTACTTAAGGAAAAAAAGTCCCAAAGAATCCAAGAAGGCCATAGAGAAGTCTTTTCTCTGATTCCCTGTGGCAAACTAGAAACCTCTTCAGACTCAATTTTTCTCATCTTGAGAGCAGAGGGAAATAATTTCTACATCACTGCAATGTTAGGAGGAATAAATGAAGCCATATGCTATGTGGAAGGTAATCAAATTTAGGTCTCCTTTTGCCTCCTTCCTCATCATTACTGTAGTACTTAACCAGGCCATGGATCAGAGTAGGCTTATGAAACTTAATCTAAGGACTGCAGATATTAACTCTTTTATAAAGTTCCCCCAAAGAGCCAGGTAAGAAGTCCTAAAACCTCTCTAAGAATGATTTCTAGGAAGTAACTACTATTGTTCGCAAATGGTTCTACTTAATAATTTTATAGGAGAGAATTCTAAAGATGTAAAATACTGGTTGAATCTATTGAATCTAACTGTAGGCTTAATTTGATTAGAAATAGCCATTATCAATAGTCTACATTTTCAATATCCAATTTCAGTATTTTCCTGCTGATAAAATTCCTCTTGAAATTGAGACAATTAAAGCCTCACATATTTTATATAGTGGAACTCTATTACATTACTATCACATTGTTTTATAATCCATGCCACTGAACTGTATTATTGAAACTGAAAAACAATATCTATGATTTAAAAAATCTCTTTTGGATGATGTCCAAGATGATATAAGAAATCTGGAGTTAACAGAAGGTTACAGGAAAATGAGACTCCTAAACATTTCAATATTTTAGGATCATCACTATCTTAGAGAAGCTTTTCATTCCTCAGATGGCTTCTTATCAACATGAATGGATCTTGAGAATATCATGATAAGTGAAGTCAGTCAGAAAAAGTTAAGAACCATATTGATTTCACTCATATGTGGGATTGAAATTGAAAGCAAAAAATGCACCCTGGTTGGGGGGAGAGGGAGGCTCAGTTGGTTGAGGTTATCTCATATATCAAATTATAGAGGGTTCAATTCCAGTCAGGGCACTCATATATCCAGGTTGCGCATGGTCTCTGATCAGGGTGTGTATAGGAGGCAACCCATCGATGTTTCTCTCTCACATGGATATTTCTCTCTCTCTCCTAAAGATAAATTTTTAAAAAAAGCATATTTAAAATATTTTTAAAAAAATAAACAAGAAAGACAACTCAGACACAGATATCAATATGTTGGTTAACAGTGGAAAAAAAAGTGGGTAGAAAAGGGTAAATGGAGTCAAATATATGGTGATGGAAGATGATTTGACTTTGGGTTGGGCACACAAAGCAATATACAGATGATGTGTCAGAATTGTACACTTGAAAACTATACAACTGTATTCATCAATAAAAACAAAATGTATTTGTATTGAAGTATTTCTTCTATGAAAATCATCTAGTTCCCACTTTCTAAAATACGAAATTGTCTTAACGTGGAAAAAAAAAGTCAGAATGTCTTCAATGCATACTGTGACTTCATTCTTATAAGAAACTATTTAAAATCATCATTTGTATTTATCAAGTTGAGTTTTGAATAATAATTAAAATATTATAGATTTCCTTAAAAAAGTAAAAGGTAGTAATTCTAGATTCAAAAGTACACTGTTTCTATACCATAGTCAGTCAGGCTCTGGGGAAAGCTTAAGAGAAAAAAAGCATCATTGTACTGGAGATATACTATCATATTATTCAAGAACAAAAAATTTCTTGATGCAAACTATAAGGTTATAATATGTATAATTTCAATATTTATATTGCAGTCTGTATCCTTTCAGGATACATGAATATACTACCAGAAAATCCAAACATCTACTTACTGAGATCAAAGAAATGCTGCCAGAAGGCTTCCATCCACTTCTGAAGATCTTCTTTATTGTCAGCTGCAAACACATGAGCTACAGCCTGTCCAGCAACAGGGTTGATGACAGAGAAATTATAAATTCTTTTGTTGGTATTCTCCATTCCCCGAATTCTGGTCTCCTAAACATTAAGAAAAAAATTGATTGTTTTACAAGAGTATTTTTGTGATGATCAAATGTTTTATTGCTTAACTACTGTATTCACATCAAATGCAATTATGTTATTGCCAATCATTTAAAATATGTAAATTTGAGAATTTCTAATATTAAAATTCAAGTAGAGAATTTATAAAAATACTTTATATGAGAAATGCTGAGTTATGTTTCAAAGTATGCTACCCATAGCACTTATATTAAATTACATGAGATTAAAACAAAACCTATTTTGCCCTTTCAGTTTAAGTAGGAGTTTGATATCTTTTATATATATCTTAAAATCTGAACTAAGTACAGTATGTCATAATGGTAAGGTGAATTATATTAACTATATTTTCAACAGCAATAAAATAGAATCAGTAAAGTATGTTTCCTATTCGAATATTCATGCGTAATATGGAGTGTTATCAGTCAAAGCAATAAAACCATAACTTAGTGTTTACTGTAGCCAAACAGTTAGGTTTTCCCCATTAACATTTATTTCATATGTAACATTCATTTACAAACCTCATAGCCAAAGATCCATAAAGTAATATCATTCTCATCATGTAAAAATTATTTTTAAAGGTTAAATGCAAGTCTCTAGTACAAAGGTAATAGTTTCATTTATTTGATAGTCTAAACTGTTTTTCTGAGTATTACTATATGACATTGTGGTGATGTTTATTGTGTTTACATATAGAAGTTTATTCCCAAATCATACATGGCACTACCATGCCACATGACAAGCTTGCAACTACCTGCAGTTTCCAAGGAACCTTAGTGGGAAACATCTGAAATAGAACTATCATACAAAAATAGGGATTTGGCTGCCTGAGCATATCCATTAGAAATATATGTGAGACACATAAGCAAGATTTTCTTCTAATCATCCTACCTAATAATAGAGTAATATGCAAATTAATCATCACTCTGCTACATCCACCAGCCATGCCCACCAGCCAATCGGAACGAGTATGCAACAAAGATGGCAGTTAATTTGCATATGTGGAGGGAGGGAGGAATGAAGACTGAAGACAGCATAGAAGGAAGAGGGAGAGAAAGTGGAAAATCAATAAAATATATTTCAAGTTACTTCATTTTTAAACCTCACTAACCCCCCTGCCATCCTGGATGCTCCACACAGCCTGTTCGGTCATCCATTCAGTTGTTTTAAATGCAACGGTCGCTTAGCCTTTCATATATATAGATATGTACATTTTTAAATAATACCAAAGTATCTTTTCAAATGAAAATAGCTAAGTAGAAAACCTGAGTAAATCACTTATATCCTTCTAAGAGAATATAACAATAATATATAAATACTATATACACTTCATTAACCCTGATAACAATAAATACTATTTTTTTAAACACGAGAGGATTTTAAAAGATGCTAATGAACACAAATTAGATAATCTGAATTAAGTTCTATATTTTATCACCCGAATTAATTTAACTAATGGGAAATTTTTAAATAAAAAAGCTGCATGGCAAAGAAAAAGTGATTTTAAAAAGTTTCTGATGTCAGAAAGTTCATGCAAGCTATTTTTCAGTGTGGGAAAAGTATAATATTATTCAGGACTTTACTTCTCAAACAAAGAATAGATTAGAAAGTAGAAAGTGACTTTTAGAACTGTTGTTATATGCTCATACAATGTAGAGGTAATGGAAGTATCTCCTGTTAGCAGGTATAAAAGAAGAGAAGTTAGGTGCTTTTGCCTCCACTATTTCTGCTAAATGACTGAAAGATATTTAATGAATAAGAAAATGAGAAAGAAAAAGAACTCAGATAATAAAAAGTTTTACATCAATAGACTCAAATCCCAGAGATGGTGTCTAATTCAATTCCTTAACTTATAGATGAGGAAACTTATGCTCTGCCCAAGGTCAGAATTTCTTGTCCTGCTTTTGATAATCCCAAACTTTCTAGTTGATTTAGGAGTCTTTATTTGTATTGATTTGAGGACAGACTTGAGATTATTCACTGTGAAATTTTAATCCTCGATGGCTCATCTTTTGTTAACCAGCACATATTGAACTACAACTTTCCACAGCCAACCCAAGTCAATAAAAATATAATTTGAGAAACCAATTTTGTAACAAAATATAATTAACTCTGAAGTCAAAGGAAATTTTCTTCTAGGTTCAAAATTTTGAATTATAAATATGCTGCATGCTTCAGATCTATGGTGATGGAAAAGTATTAGATCAGGACAGATTTATGAATTTTGACTACATGACTTTAAAAAAAAAGTCTACTATGTTCCCAGATTGTGGTCTATAAATACCTTTTCCTACTAAAAAGAATCACAGCTCTTTAGAGAAATGGCTGATTCCCAGCCTGGGTCAGGGAATGTACAGAATGATCCTGGAATATCTTGTCCTACCAGAAATCAAAGATTACTACGGTTTTATCAAATGGACCAACTTGATGAGGCTCACAGTAGCCAAAGATGGGACACCCTGTATAGCAATAACAATAACAATGTTGCTAAAATAAAGATTTAGTCCTTATATATATTCAATAACAAAGCATATGTTCACAACATATGACAAGGGATGTTTGAAATATGTAAAGTATAACAATATATTAAATCAAGCATTATGTATAATTAGTACTAGTGTGATATAATTACTTTCAATTCATGTCAATGAAATCAGACATAAACTCCTACTAAAAGAAAAGGTGATTGGAAAAATCATTTTTTGCTATATTTATAAAGGTCAGTATAAATAGTTGATAGGGTTCAGACATTAAGAGGACTAAAATACTTCAAAAAAAAATCCCATGTGCTTTATAATAATTTTGCTTGCTAGGATCTATGATAAAAATAATGGTTAAAAGCAAACTCAAGACAATTTAACAAAGGTCTATCACCCCAAGTAGTGTTATTGACTTGTTTAGTAGAGATTTTATTCATTAAAATGAAGTGATGCATAGTATTTCAAATCAAGAAAAGACTATTGATCTCAAAGGCCCATACTTCTTTTCCATTCCACTCCCCACCCTATTGGCAATGGGTAAAACTTTGGTTAATAAAATGCTTTCTACAATGCATAGGAGATTCAGTGGCTCCAGTTAAGTATCCCTTATTGAGAATGTCTTACTTAACAACATTCAAAGGAAGTTTTTTGAAGTTGAAGCAATCACTTTGAAGTAAATCATCCTTTCAAATTTGGATTGAAAAGAAGAGGGGAATAGCTTTTAGGCTTTTCTTTCCTTAATGTGACTATTTCCACAGATGGCTCCCTATGAAAATTAATGAACTGACTCAGCCTTACAGGAAATGCCATTTAGAAGGACAAGAATTATAGTTAAAGAACAAATCCTGTGATCAAAATAACAGGACTATTATTAATATACCTTAGCAACTGCAAAATGTATGTTTTTCACGTAATTTTAAGGTAGCATTAGGCAAAATTATTATTTTCTAAATCATGAGAGAAGACAATCAAAAGAAAGGAACTCTGATTTGCATTTAATATTTAACATTATTAAGCACAAAAAGATCTTAGAGACTCAGCATTGGAAATATTCTAAAAACTGAAAAAAAACATTATCCTTAAAAGTTTTATTTGGTGTTTACCTGACCTACATATCAGAAAAATGTCATGCTGACATTTATCAAAGTTTCTGTTTTAATAGCATGTATCCCTTAAACATTTCCAAAGTAAACAAAAACAGAACATGGACCTTATGTTTGAAAATCAAGTAATTTAAAACACCGAGTAGATAAAAAGCTGTAAGTTTATTGTAATTTTGGGGACATTCCTTTGCTATTTCTGGAGGGATAACATCACTCCAACACATATTGAAAATATAATACCCAATATGCAATACCCATTATTTACTCTGAAAACTGGCAATTTAAACATTAAACATTCATCCTGTCTTTTCAGGAGGGATTGTAATTCATTCCTACTTGATGAGAAAAAGTCCTCAAAAAGAATACAAAGAATGCCAGTTATTAATGTATAAGAAGCACAGTACAAGAAAAGCATATGCAATCTGCCAGGTCACGATTCATTCAGGCAAGGGCAATCACAAAGTATCACTTTTATACTACTAACTGTAAAGAGGAAAGCTTACCTATATTCTGGGGGGCTAGCGGTCACCACCTTAACCCAGCATTGTCAATAAGCAGACCACCAGAAATCATGTATCTCTGAAAAGGATGCTCTATAAAGTATCTCTCATATCCAGGAAATATTCTTGTAAAAAAAAAATTTTTTTTAAGAATCTAATCAAGCCTCTGGACATAATTTACAATTGAGGGACAGCCAAACAACCGAGCAAGCAGGTGGGACAGTTAGGGGTGACCAGGCTGGCAGGGGAAGGGAGGAGTTAGGGGCAACCAGGCCAGCAGGTGGGGCCATTAGGGGTGATCAGGTCATCACAAAGAGGAGTGAGGGATGATCAGGCTGGTGGGCAGTTAGGGGTGACCTGGCAGGCAGGCAGGAAGGTGAGCGATTAGGAGCCAGCAATCCAGGTCTTTCTAATGGGAAAATTTCATTTTATGTGTATGTCCCCAGGATCGGGCCTAACTGGCAGTAGGACATCCCCTGAGGTGTCCTGGATTAGAGAGGGTACTGGCTGGGCTGAGGGGACACACCACCATGCATGAATTTCATACACTGGGCCTCTAGTATTTAAATAATCCTAGACTGAAAGTAAAAGCTAAACAAATACTTTGGGTACAATGAGAAAATTTGATCATAAACTGGATATTAGATGATAAAAGAAAATTATTGTTAATTTGCCTAGCTGTGATAATGGTATTTTATTTATATATATATAAATTTTTTTTTTCAAATGGGTCAGAAAAAATTAAAGAGGCTTTATAAACTTTCAGCAAGAAGATGAATAAGGTCTAAGGATCTATAAAACATGGTGACTATTGTTAACATTATTGTACTGCTGATAACACTACTGAATAATCAAAATTTACTGAATAGAACTGTGCACCAAAAAATATTAACAAAAACTGTAATGCAATGGTTGTAGCAATGATTACACTACAACTGTATATTTGCCAAAATTATCAAAATGTACTTTTTTTTAGTTGAGTAAGACACATATAGTTTATTTCTGTATTTTTCACAATCACTTTCCTTCAATATTCTTTTTTAAATTTATTGTTTAAGGTATTAAAATAGTATTTTTTTTAATTGGTGAATTTTATTTTATATGTATTCTATCACCATAAATTGATTAAAAATTAGATAAATGTAAAGCAGTTAGCCCCCTTAAAAAAAAAAAAAAAGGGTAAAGCAAATATGACAAAATGTTAACTGTTGAATCTAGGTGATATACACATGTCCACAAAGGTATTTTCAACTCTTCTGTAAATTTGAATAATTCTATAAGTTGAGAAAAAATCTAAATTATTTTAAATAGGAGATATAATTAGATAACAGTTGTGTTTTCATAAGTTAACAAATAAATGTCTTGACCCAGTTAATATTTGACACATGTAAACAAGAAGACCAGTGGGACTTACTGTTAAGAGTGGAGTTTCCAGGTGTATAGAAGAGTTCAAAGAAAACCTGAGGTAGAAGTAGGAAGTGAAGAAAGAAAGTTTCTATAGAGAAAAGGCAGGAATTCACGCTGGGGAAAAATTAGGATGACAATATTGCAAAGCTAGAGAATGGAAGCCTTTCCCATCTGTATAATCTTTGAGATTAGCAAGTCCTAGTAAATGATATTAACCTTCCCAACCTTAATCTTTCGTCAGAGTTTAATATTCCATTCTCTTTTGTACTTTAGACAAAAGTCACAAACAATGAGATATATGTCATCAGTTCTCAGGGTCAAAGATAATCTATGCTGTTCCCAAGTCTAAGACGAGTTTATACAAATTACTAAATTCTCATTTTCCTGTGAATTTGTAATGGTCAATTGCAGAGCCACCACTGGGATTTCTAAGTATGCTGATTTCAGTCATCTTAATAATAGAAATAGAAATCCTGTTAGTTGCTAGGTTATCAGACCTATTATTATATTATCACAATTGAAAAAGGTAAATTCAAGTCAAGCCATGTAAACATTGTTAAGCGCTTTTCAAGAATTAGACTGTTGCCATCAGACAAGAAAATAAAGATATACTATCTACAACAATAGAGGAATTCCCCAATAACTGTCCTAAATCAGTTCATCTAGAAGTAGATTGAAGTTTCAGGATCAGAACCTCACTGCAGAGCTACTTTTTACTATCAAAACTGACTCAGAGTGGGTATGGAGATAAGAATAAGTCAAGTTTTGGCTTCCAAATCTAGTCCAGCAATCTATGAGGAAAAGGAAACACAGCCCACAAATATTTTGTGTTTTAGTTGTTAATCCTCACCTGAGAATATTTCCTCCACTGATTTCAGAGCGAGTGGATGGAAGGGGGAGAGAGCAAGAGAAACATCAATGTGAGAGAGACAGACCAATTGGTTGCCTTTTGATTGCTTCCCAAACATGCCCCTACTAGGGCTGGGGATTGAGCCTGACTATTTTTTCTACACATTACAAAGAGAGTGAGCTATATAATCTTTTTTATTGGCCTGACAAGTTCTATCTCCTCTGAGTATATTTCTTCACTTGAAAATAGAAACAATATACCTATACAACAGGGCTGACTTCAGCCTTCTCTGACTATCTTAAAGAGCTGTGATAAAGTAAAAGGAATACAATGAAGACTATTTTCAAATGAAACAGATGACTTTAAATGTATTTGTTTAAATTACATTTTAATTTGGTTTATTATTATCCATATTCTACTGTACAACTGATAAGAAAAAATTCATAGATTTCGATTTTTATTACCTAGCTGGCTAAACAGGTTAGACAAAAATATCTAAAATATATAAGCTAGCCTTGGCCAGTATGGATCAGTAGGTTGAGCACTGTCCCATGAACTCAGAATTCCTAGTCAAGACACACACTCAAATTGTGGTCTCAATCCCCAGTAGTGGGTGTGTAGAAGGCAGTCAATGAATGTTTCTATCATCAGTGTTTCATTCTCTCTCTCCTCTCCCTTCTCTCTCTAAAATCAATAAAAACATATTTTAAATAATGTAACCTAAACCTAGGGAAATAATTAGTCAAATAATTACTCAAATGCAAATTTGGGGACTGGCTTGGATTTTTCAAAAATGTCAATGTAATGGAAGACAAAAAGAAAAAAGAAAAAGGCAGCAAGGGCACAATTTAAATGAAAAGGAAACAAACAAAAGACATGGTGACCACATGCAATTTGTGATCCTTGATGGGGTCTTGGATAAAACAATAAATAAAAATCAGAAAGAACATTTTGAAGATGATTGGGGCAATTTTCTCTATATATTAGATAATAGTATTTTATCAACAATAATTGTCTTGAGTGTGCTAATATTATTGTTATTAAGGAAATATCCTTGTTTTTAGGAGGAACATGCTGAAATATCCTAGGGAAAAAATGTTATGCTTTTTGCTACTTACATTGAAATGGTTCAGAAAAAAATTTAACCTATTTAGAGAGAGAGCAAATGTGGCAATAGATAAAGAATCTAAGTGCAGGGTACACAGGTGTTCATTATTCTATTCTTTCAACTTTTCTGAATATTTGGAATTTTCAGAAGACTAATAAGGTGAAGAAAAGTAAATGCTGCTTAAAGAAAACAAAATAAAAGGTTGGCAAGTAATTAAAAAATTATGTCAATTTTCTAGTAATAAAATTGTACTTTCATAAACCTAATTTTCTAAACCAAAATAAACTCACTATGTTGTTATATTGAGGTACATTATTTAATAGCATCACCAATCTTTCCAATACACAAAACAGATATATTAGGTGGACTTAATTATATATCTCTCACTGAAGGATTTTCTTTAACTAAAAAGCAGTGTAAGTTCTAAAAGTAGGATAGAAACAAGACCTTATGTTATTATTGGAAAAGATCATAGAAATTAATTCAAGTCCTTATAAATTAACAAACCAGTATTTATATGTTTTTCAGGACATATCACTTAAATTTTCCTCCGAAAGAAAATTTAAAAACAAGTAAAATATGTAGAGTTAACAGCTGGGAAGGCTCATATTTTATCATATATTTCAATTCAACCACTCCAAAGGCAAATTAAAACAACTAGGAAGAATTAAGTTGTCTTTAGAAAGAAAAGCTGACATTCTGCTCTAGAAATGCCATTATAATATTCTCTAGTAGCAATGCTAAAAAGGGGGGCAGGGAGGGACCTCCAATAAACACTAAACTAAGATGATAAGAGGAAGATAAATTTAAGATCCTGGGATAAAGCAAGTAAGTTTGGCTTACTGTGAAAAGTTTTCCTATAGATTTATGGATAAAAATTTTGTTAGTAAATTTTAATCATCTTTGTATCAAACCCGTGTGTGAGTATGTGACTGTGTGTGTGTGTGTGTGTGTGTGTGTGTGTGTGTGTTTGATAGCTTCTCTAGGTGGTGTGTATTATTTCTTAAATGCAGTGTAAGCACTCATGTATTCTAAATGAACTGTCAGGCTTTCCTGTTCTGACAGAAGGCTGGACAATTGCCCGTCAATCCCACTCCGAAATGTCTTTTTATGGATTCATTTAAATATTAACTAGAGAGAGTATCACTGTAACAGGAGCTAACAATTTATGTTTATATAATCTCTTAATTAAGTAAATTCATGGAAAATTTTAAAATCCTGTTAATGTGGAATTATATTCTCTGCTTTAAAACCTATTTACTGGTATATATTTCCAAAAACTATGTTTTCTTAGGAAATATACAGCAATTCCTTTACCAACTTAGCTCTATAATGGAAAGAAAACTAAGATTAATTCCCTTTATAAACTAACCTATTTTTAGCAGTACTTTCCTTTTCTTTATAAGATGGCAACAATATAAACTGTATGGAAATGGACAAGCTTCATTAAATGTTATATTTTTATTTTCAAAATAGCATTTTATTTACCTTGTTAATGGGCACTACCAAAGCTGGTTCCACTTTAGCTTCAATTTCTTCTGGAGTGTAAAAACAATAGAGCTTACCTCCTCTCAAAACACAATACAACCTTCTCCAACTAATCAGTCCTTCTAATGTTTGCTGGGGGGAAAAAATCAAGAAAGAATCAACATTAAAACATAATTCATCATCTTAACCCTCAATTCAACAAAATACTTAAATTATCAAAGTTAAATTAGTTTTAAAAAATTTTAATGTGATAGTTACCCATTAATTTACTATATAATGAGTTAATGAGAATCAAAGAGTAACTTAAGAGAATAAAGGTCTGAATTCTCAAAAGCATTCAATAAGCAAAATGGAGGTAATAATTACCACATAACATTTCCACACATAAAAATCACAAATCAATGAAGTTTTTAAAAAGCTTGTCTATTAAAAATGAGTACTAAGAATTCCACAGCAATTCACTGACTCAGAGAAGTTATAAAAATAACTCGGTATTCAAAATATAATTTTCCCTTACTGTTCTTAGAGCACTGGAAAATGTTGACGACCCTGTAAGAATGCAAATTTTTTTCCCTCTTAATGGAATCTTTTAGAAAACGCTATTGATTCATTGGAGCCCATAATTAATTATTTACTGAATATAAATAACTATGGTTATAAATAAATCAGGAGTAGATGGCACAGAGGCCGCTTTGGAAGCTCAGAGGCCTACACTGTGCCAAAAGCTGCCTGCCAGCAAGGCCTTATGAGAAAGGTGCTGAGCAGTCCTCATCAGCTTCCACAAGGAGGCCTCTGTTGCTGGTTATCCTGTTACTGCAATTCACGAAGCAGAGGAACCTGGAGAGGTAGCTCCTTAGCCATCCAAATGGCATTAGACCCTCCCTTCTCATCCCCAGATCCCCTCCTCCCACCAATTCCCCAGACTATGTCTAATGAGAAAACTGTTTTTAAAAGACTCTAAAAAAATACTTCTCAATATTAGGATTAAGATCTAAACTGGAGCTATAATTACTGTAGAATAAAGATCCGCTAACCTGCTGATTAAGAAATCCTGCAAATGCATCCTCAGCCATACAAGCTGGCTGGGCAACTAATCGGCAGCACATGTTGCCAAATAAGGGCAGCCAAAATGAAGATTCCTCTATTTAAAAAAGGAGAAAAAGTCAAGTTACAATTTTCTTTCTACAATTTTTTTTTGGCTTTACATTAAGAACATACGTAAAGGTTCATCCTACTCAAATACAAGAACCATCTTTAATGACAAAATCAAATAGGAGATGATATTAAACTAATAGTTTATAGCATGTTATCATCTGGAATAGACTTGGAACTGTTAGTCTCTTGATCTCTTGTTTGATCTTAAAGTAATCAGCAGAGATAGTTCAGGGCATATAAGTAAACTCATTTAATATAAAAAAATCTAATAAAGTAATTTTTGTATGTCAAATTCTGTTTTTTCTGACTTTCATTATAGTAATTACCAAATCGATCCTCTGAATAAAACATTTCAGAGCACAACTTTAATATAATCCTATATAATAAAAGGGCAATATGTAAATTGACCCAATTGTGGAACAACAGGTTGCTATGAAGCACACTGACCAGCAGGGGGCAGATACTCAACACAGAAGCTGCCCCCTGATGTTCAGTGTGCTCCCATAGGGGGAGTATTGCTCAGCCACAAGCCGGGCTGATGGCTGGCAAGCACAGCTGCAGTGATAGGAGCCTCTCCCCCTTCTTTGGCAGTGCTAAGGATGTACACTGATAGCTTAAGCCCAATCCCTTCAAGGAACTTCTGAACTGCTAAAGGGTGCAGGCTGGACTGAGGGATTGCTAAAGGGCGCAGGCTGGGCTGAGGGAAACCTCCCTCCACCCCCCGCATCCCCTTCCCAGTGCACAAATGTCATGCACCAGACCTCTAGTAATTTAATAAACCGTTTTTGCCTTTTCCCTCCTTCCTCTTACAGTTCAGCTTGGAGCCATTAGATGGAGTTCACCAAGTGGGGCATCTGTGCTGGGGTGGGGGGTGAAGCTGTGGTGTGCCACAGCTGGGTGCCAGAGGACAGGGAGGCTGAGTAAGAGAGCTGCCTGGCACAGGTCTGAATGGACTGAAGACAGATCATATGGAGCAAAGCCTAGCGGTCAAAGGAGATCTCTGCTCAGGGGATGCCCTGGTGTAGGGAGTCAGGCTTGAGTAGAGTGAGCAGGGTATCAGAATCTAAGTAGAGTAAGACAAGTGTGTGCATTAGAGGGATGGCCCAGCTATGGGAGTCAGAGTCTGAAGAAGCAATCCACACATTCAGTGACCAGAAAAGCATGTCAGAACCCATTAAGAAGGGCATCCGAGCAGAGGGACAGCTGGCCCTGGGTGTCAGAGTACAGGTGCTGAAAAGGGTGTCCACATGGGATGAGGGCAAGAGCAACCAGGCATGGGGAGTTAAAGCCTGAACGGGAAAGAGTGTTCATGGGCAAAGGGCTGCCCACAAGGAGAAAAAGAAGTAAAGAAGATGAGAAAATGGTTGCTTTCAGGTAGACTGATGAAAGAAGAAAAAACTTTAAAGATAATAGAAAACAAGTTTCTCACTGTGAGAGAAAAGACTTAAAATATGTGGAATAAACTCTGTGATGTTGGATTAGAATTGGATGTACTGATGTGAAATGGTTTTCAACACAGAGATTAAGAAATACATGACAAAATATGTGCATGTATGTAGCTCTGTCCAATGAGGAAAGCTAGGAAAAGCAACACTCTAATTGTGGTGAATATACCGAGAACCCAGATCATGTGTTCTAAATATTATAGCCATTAAAAAGAATCAGCATTCCTTGGAGAAATGGCTGATTCCAGGTCTGGGGCTTGGAAAGCACATGATAAGTCTGAAATATCTTATGCCACAAAGCAAGGGAATTTTTTGATGAAGACCTGTCAAAAAACACAGAAGCCATCTTTAATGTGCTCCTGTTGGCCAAACTGGAGACAATTTGAACCTGAAAATAAACAATAATATTGACAGATTATGATGCATTGAACAAAACAGAGAAACCTGAGTCTATCTTGCTATAAACACATCAATGAATAAATTGAAAGTCCAATAATAAAATATAATGTTTCAATGTACCCCCTTCTCACACACAAAATATGTATTTATTACAAAAGGGGAAACAAAAAAAGTAACTTTACAATAGAAAAGCTTGGTAGACACCACCTTAATTAAGCAATTAAAGTGAACATCATCAGTAATTGGATGAATAAAAATTATATGCCAACTAATGGATGCATTGAACACATTATCAGTTCTGTGATATTTCTTTGTTTTTAAAAAAATATATTTTATTGATTTTTTACAGAGAGGAAGAGAGAGGGATATAGAGTTAGAAACATCAATGAGAGAGAATCAGCTGCCTCTTTCACACCCCCTACTGGGGATGTGCCTGCAACCAAGGTACATGCCCTTGACAGGAATCGAATCTGGGACCTTTCAGTCTGCAGGCTGACACTCTATCCACTGAGCCAAACCGGTTTCGGCCTGATATTTCTGTATATCCAGAATCTTATCCCAAGAAAACATCTGACAAATACAAACTGAAGGACCATCTACAAATCACTATGATGTGTAACAGTGTTAAGGTTATAAAAGCCAAGGAAAGACTAAAGAACTGGTCCAGACTGAAAGAAACAAAGGAAGCATGATAATTAAAGGCAGTTTGTGATTCTGTACTGGATCCTCCTTTTTTCATAAGGAACATTACTGGAACAATCAGCAACACCTGGAGTCTGAGAATTAAATGGTAGTATTATTAATTTCCTGATTTGGGCGGAGCAGTGATATAGCCGGATGTCCTCTTAGTGGGAAATACATATTACTATATTTGGGGGTAATGGAGCATCATGTAAGCATCCTGTTCTCATATACTTGGGGAGGGGGAAAGGGGGCACGTAAAAAGATCTTGACATTCAATTTGTAAATTTCCTATAAGTTTTGCAAATGATTAAAAAAAGTTCTTTCAAAAAACATTAAGATATTCCTTTAGTGTGTGTACAGGTAGGTATAAAACCTTCAAATCTTTATGGAAGGAGAGCATTGCATGATTTATTCTGTTTATCAGGGTATAAATAAAAATCCAGTACATGGTGCTTTCACCACACAAAAATGATTTTAAAAGTTTTCACTGACCCCTATTGGTAGTATCTATAAAATAGCCAGCTATTGGCTTTTACTATTATGGCCCCAAAAGTCTTACTAACTCTGGGAAAAAAATATTTTAAAAATATATATATTTTATTGATTTTTTTACAGAGAGGAAGGGAGAAAGATAGAGAGCTAGAAACACCTCTTGCACACCCCCTACTGGGGATGCGCCCGCAACTAACGTACATGCCCCTGACTGGAATGGAACCTGGGACCTTTCAGTCCGCAGACCAATGCTCTACCACTGAGCCAAACCGGTTTCGGCTGGAAAAAAATATTTTTATAAAAATACAATTAATATATAGATGCAATGTAGCCAAAGTTTCATACATCAGTTAAATAAAAAAGACAAGCCTAAAATGATGAGTACAAAGTAAAAGAAAAGTTTTTTTTTTTATTAACTTACCTACTCACCATTTTATTATAGAATAGCACACAACAAATTATCTGAGACTATTCAAATCTTTTTTATTAATACCTCATTAAAGATGCTATCTTTCAGAAATAAAGGGTTTGACCTGGGAGGAATAAATGCATAAATACAATACAGGAAATGGTCCCCAAATACAGACATAACTAAATAAATGAGAATCTTCTTTCCTAAAATAAGCAAGAAATGAAATAAAAATTCTATAAAAGTATGTATCTGAGTAACACATCTGAAATTAACTTTGTGATTTATGAATTTAAAGTTTAAAAGGAAATTTGTTTATATAAATATTCCAAGATTCATTAATAATTAAAGTTCTAAATATCTGTAAGCTATTTGTTTTTAAATTAGAATCCACTTCCTAAAAAAGTAGAATCATAAATGATTAGGTTTTCAGACCAGTTCATAAAGTTTGTTTAATCATTAATGTACTGGACCCTAAATACCACATGTAACAATGTGTTTTTCTGATAGAATAAATTCAGATTTCATCGGCCACCAAGAAAAATAATTTCTTCCTGACTGCAGTCCTTAAATAGATGTGGAATCGTTGCAACATACCCTGCAATCAGTTTTCTTTTTGGCTCAGGAGCACTGTGGAATAAAATGTAGTCACAGCTTCTTTCTACATCAGATAAGAAATATGGCATCTCAATAGTCATCTAATCTATCTCAGTATCAATTTCTCATTAAAGAAATACTACCAATCTTAAGTAGGAAGGTGGTGAAAATCAAATAGGATAATGTGTAAATGACATCTACCACTGTGTCTCACACATAATAGATGCTTCTCATAATTTCATATCTAGGGTATTCTCACTCCCAAAACCATATCCTTTCCATTTCTCAATGCTGTCTCTCAGTCCTTAAGCAACCATTTAATCAAAATACTTAATTCTTGTTTTCTAGCCAAGGGAGGTATTAGGACACAATATAATGAAACAGGAAGTGAGAGCAGTTTGACTTTTCATTACTAAAAGATTTTATCTAATTCATCTGTACTTTCAAATGGGGAACAAAATGGAGTTTAAAAACGACAGCAACAACAAAAACAATACACAGGCAAGAGAAAGAATCCAGATAACATCTCGGTTCTATGTGAGTCAATCACAATGTGGTTTCACTGTTTCACAAAAACTATAAAAATTTCTTGATGACAAATATAAACCTCAAGATATCATTTTGGCTTTTCCCTTCAGTAGCAAGAATAAAGTTGAGTTATAAATTTCAAAAATCTTGTATTTCCTTTGATTTTATAGTTTTGGTAGATGTTAACATAACCTTAGGAAAACCCCACTACATTAACATATTTATATTCATTTTAAAAAGGTGGCTTTTCCCCCCATTTAATTATAAGATATAATTTCAACGTCTTAATTTAAACACAGGTCTAGAAATATACCTATTACCGATATATAAAGAGCTAGGCATAGAGGTTATTGCTTTTTAAATTATTTTCCAAAGGAACTCACAAGTTCCAAAGTCAGTGTTTTGGGGTGTTAGTGCTTTAAGCATAGGTCTTCTCCCAGTCTTTAATATGCTAATATTGTGTTTCTCTAAGAGCTATAACCACAGTCCCCATGCTTATTTGCACAGGAGCATTTTATATAGAATCTAGTAGTACCTCTTAGAACACTGAAGACAACTGGGGAATTATTGCTAAAAGTGGTGCCTCATTTATGAATTTTATTCCTTTCCACAACTTTTCAGGTAATTTGGTTGAAAGAATGGGGCCTTTCAACATCAAATCCATTATTCACATATCAATAGTATTTTGAGTCTTTAGCTGCTTAGCGGAATTCATGCCAGATCAGAAAGCATAGCAGAAAGAGCACAGCTTGTCCAGGATTATTTAAAGTCTAGTATAACCACTTGCTAGCTGTATGATCTACAATAGTATGTTACGGTCTCTAAACTGTACTTTACTAATTTGTAAACTGTATACGATAACAAAATGAGGAACTTGTGAAGGTCACAGAACTAGCCAGTGGTAGAAATAGAATATGAATTTAAGGCTGACAGCCACACTATTAACCACTTTATTGCAATGTTTCCTTATAACAACAGCTCACAGTGACTAAGAATAAAAGTTGCTTCAAAAGTGCTTGTTTGCATATTTATTTATTTACTATGGTAAGAACATATAACAGAAGATCTACCCTCTTAGATTTTTAAGTGTACAATGCAGTCCTGTTCACAGTAGGCACTTGTACAGGTTTCTAAAACATATTCATCTTGTGGAACTGAAACTTCATATTCCTTGACTAGCAAAGCCCCATCCCTCCTCCTCCAGCCTCTAGTAACTCCATGCTACCACCGCTGCTTCTGAGTTTGACTGTTTGAGATACCACATTCATTGCAGTCACACAGTATTTGTCATTCTATTTCAGTTAGTACCAGAGGCCCAGTGCACGAAATTCATGCACGGGTAGGATCCCTAAATTGATCAGGGCTGATCCAGCTGGGGGCTGGGGCCTCCCTTCCCTGGCCGCCAGCCAGGGCCTTCCTCTGTTCTGCGCTGCCCCCTTGTGGTAAGCGCACATCATAGCAAGCAATCAAACTCAGTCTCCTGGTAGAACTCCAGAGGGTACGCTTTGCATATTAGGCTTTTATATAGACAGATAGATAGATAGATAGATAGATGTCCTCAAGGTTCACTCATGTTGTCACATACTGTAGAATCCCCTTCTTTTTGAAGGCTGAATAGTATACTATAGAGTAGTGTCTGGTACAACAAATTTCATTTGTCAAATTTTCTAATTAAACTGATAATTCTAATACTATTGCAGACTTCAGGTTTTGAGTGACAAAAGGCTAGACCAGTGGTCGGCAAATTCATTAGTCAGCAGAGCCAAATATCAACAGTACAATGATTGAAATTTCGTTTAAGAACAAAATTTTTTAAACTTAAACTATATAGGTATGTATTACATTGTTATTAACTTAATTAGGGTACTCCTAAGCTGGCCTTTGCTAAAAAGTCAAGGGCCAAAGAGCCCTATGTGGCTTGCGAGCCACAGTTTGCCGAACACTAGGCTAGATGGTTCAGACCAATCCTCCTATAGGAAACTATTGAAAATGCTGAATTACCTATAGTTTAAAAATGTTTTCCCATAAGAAATTACTAGAACAAATTGAATAAATAAGAACCAGTGAGGTAAATGAGCACAAAAGCTGTTCATCCTAATAGCATTTGAAAATCCCAGCAAATCTGAATTTATGATTTAATGATTCTGCATAATAAGGAAAGCAAAACAGAAATCTGTTTCCTGATTTCTGAACAACTGAAGCAGTTTAATGTGAGATTTTCCTCATACTAAGTTAATATCCCAAAGGAATCACCAACAGAATACTAGTGAGCCAGAAGCAAACCAACTTTACTGCCCAAAATCCCCATTGCCTGGAGGTGGGGATGGGAGAGCACAGAGAAACTCAGACATGGTCTTTCCAAAAGCAGCATATATAAGATTCTATACTATGTCACAGTGAAACTTAGAAAAACCAAAGACTAAGAGAAAATTACCTTCAGAGAAGTGACACACTGACAAATGATTTTCAATAGCTAATAAAAGAAACCATAAGATAGCGGAATTATGTCTGTAACAGCAAAAACAAAACTTAAAACCCTTCATGTAAAAACAAAGAGCCAAGAAATATGACACAAGGAGACATACTAAAAGAGATTCAAATTGTCCTTCAAGCAAAAGGAAAATTATCCCAGATGTAAGGTTTATAAGTAGTCCACAGAAACATGTAGTAGGTAAATCTAAATAAACATTAATGCATAAAACATCTTGTGAAATTTAAAAATCAAACAGAATTAAAATATATAACAATAGCACACAAGTAAGAGAAATAGAGTTTAACTGTTCTAAAGTCCTTGCATTGTCCAAGCAAAAAGTAAAACTATCTTTTAATTTTATACTTCATAAGTATTATTAATCGTATTTCTAGAAGTAATTTCTAAAAGATGAGAAAAAGAATTATAGCTTTAAATAGACAAGAAAAAACTGAAATAATGAAACTATTGGTCCTTTAAAAGGCAAGACAGAACAGAAAAAACAGAGGCTATGATGGCAGATTTAAATCCAAATATTTAATACTAGAGGCCTGATGCTCGAGATTTGTGCACTAAGGAGGGGGAGGTCCTCATCCCAGCCTACACCCTCTGCAGTCAGGGACCCCTCGGGGAACAGGGAGTGGGCCTAAGCCAGTAGTCAGAAATCCCATTTGCAGTCTGGGGCTCCTGCAATCCAGGACCCCTCGCTCCTTACTGCCCATCTGCAACAGAGGCAAGAGAGGCTCCCGCCACCACTGCTGTGCTCACCAGCTGTGAGCCCGGCTTTTGGCTGAGTGGCACTCCCCTTGTGGGAGCACACTGAACACCAGGGGGCAGCTCCTGCATTAAGTGCCTACTCCCTTGTGGTCAATGCATGTCATAGCAACCATTCCACTATTCTATTAGCAATTAGCCTTTTATTATATAGAACTAGTGGTCCAATGCACAAAATTCATGCACAGGGGGTGGGAGGGATGTCCCTCAGCCCAGTCTGCACTCTCTCCAATCTGGGATCCTTCTTGCAATCTGGGACTGCTGGCTCCTAACCGCTCACCTGCTTACCTGCCTGACGGCCCCTAACCACTCTGCCTACTGGCCTGCTCACCCCAACTGTCCCCCCACCACTGGCCTGAATGCCCCTAACTGCCTCCCTTGCCCACCTGCTCACCCCCATCTGGTCTCCCCTGACAGCCTGTTCGCCCCTAATTACTCCCCACACCAAACGGATCACCCCCAACTGCCTTCCCCTCCTAGCCTGATTGCCCCTAACGGCCTCTGCCTCGCCCCACCACCATGGCTTTGTTCAGAAGGTCTCCCAGTTTAATTAGCATATTATCATTTTACTATTATAGATAATGTGGATTATAGGCTATTTAGTATTAAAAACAAAATGAATAAATGCTCCAGTAAAAAAATACCCATAAATACTGTCAAATTGAAGAAAAATTAAAATCTAATGTATAATCCTGCTAGAAGAAGCATTCTAATACATAAATAGGTATAGTTTGAGGTAAGAGTGGAAGAAAATACACAATTAAAAATGTGTGAATCAAATATCAAACGCTTAAATTATATAAAGCAAAAATAGACATAACTAAGAGAACTAGAAAAATCCACAATCATAGATTTTATTATACCTCTCACAATCCTATCTAATAAAAGGGTAATATGCAAATTAACCACCACTCCATCACAAATATGGTGGTGCCCATAGCCACAAGATGGCGGCATGCCATCCTCTCAGCCCCGATGGAGTCCCACAGTCCTGGGATGGGGGAGGGGCAGTCACTGAGAACAGGCAGCATTATCAGCTAAGCAAAATGCTTGCTTCTTGAAGCAAGTGTTCCGTGCCCTGCTGTGGATGGGCCTCTGGACTGCGGAGAGCCTCTGGGCAGCGTGCATGGAGCGGCCAGGCCCCGCAGATAGCTACTGGCACACAGATTCATGCGTAGGGCAACTAGTAGTATATGATATGTAAACTATAATAATTATTTCTATGTATTGCTACATATTTCTTTTGAAAAAACTATACCTACCAATATCATGCAGAGAGAAAAGGGTTAAGATTAATTTAGCCCTATCTTTCCTTATATCCACTGCTATCAACAGAAGGGTTGGCTTCCTCAATTTCAAATTTAAAAATAAGATAGGTCTCTTATTGCTAACTAGAAGGTGATGAAATCATCAATTTCAAGACAAAGACAAGGATTCAGAATATACAAAATCATTCTGACTCACAAACAAAATCTCTCGCAAATAGCATGGAGAGAGGAAAATAAACTTCACTTTTGAGGAAAAGGGATGGACGTATTTGGGAAACCCACAGAATCCCTCAGGGATTTAAGCCAATATCCACTCCAGGAGAACATCTTAAAATTAGAAGTTATTACTGTCACCACATATATATCAACATAACATATGTAATAAGTAAAATATAAACTGTACTTACCATTTCCATTAATAGACAGATTATGGGTCTTGAAATTGTTCTCAGCACTTTCCAAGGTCAGTGTAGTATGAGCTAGCAAATTATACTTTGCACCACTAAAAGTGAGGAAGGAGACATGTTTTAAGTACTCTAGTATAATTTCTACTGCATAAAATATTTCAATATTCAACAACAACAACAAATAAACGTGACTAAAAAATGGGCTAAGGATTTGAATATATATCTTTCTAAAAAGAGATATACAAATGGCCAATAAAGACATGAAAAGATGCTCAAGATCACTAGTGATTAGGAAAATGCAAACCAAAACTGCAATGAGATAACACTTTAAAGCCATTGGGATAGCTATTGTTAAAAAAAAATAACAACAAAGAAAAATGGAAAATAACAAATGTTGGCCAAGAATGTAGACAGTGGTGATGGTAATATAAAATGGTGTAACCACTATGGAAGACAGTATCATGGTTCCTCAAGAGATTAGACATAGAATTACCAAATAATCCAACAATTCTACTTGTGGTATATACCCCAAAGAACTGAAAGTAGGGACTCAAACAGATATATGTAAACCCTCGAAAAAGCAGCCAAATTGTGAAAGAAGCCCAGGTGTCCTTTTAGGGACGAAAGGATAAACAAATGTATATACATGCAATAGAAAATTATTCAGCCTTAAAAAGGAAGACAATTCTAACACAGACTAGAACATAGATGAACTGCAAAGACATTATGTTAAGTGAAATAAATCAGTCACAAAGGACAAATACTGTATGATTCCACTTATATGAGGTAGCTAGAAAAGTCAAATTCAGAGGCAGAAAGTAGATTTCCAGAGGCTGAATGGAAGGGAAAGCAGGGTTATATTGTTTAATGGTATAGTTTTAGCTTAGGAAGATAAAGAAGTTCTGGAGATGAATGGTGGTGATGGTTGCACAACATTGTGTATATACTTAATGCTATTGATTTATATACTTAAAAATGGTTAAAATGGTAAATTTTATGTTATGTATTTTTACCAAAATAAAAAAATTAGATGTTATGAATTACAGTTTAAAGCTAACATAAATTCTCTTTATCTCTTTATGCTATTTTATCATAAGAAAACCAGAAAATTATTTAGTTTAGTTTACAAATGTTTTTTTAGAAGGACCTCCATTCATTCAATAATATTAACTGAACACTGAATGTTTGCCAAGTGTTATGTAAGGTGACGGGCATTAATGATGAGACTCAATATTATATACTGATGCAGAAGAGGGGGGGGGGAAGTAGAGGGATAAATCAAATGTTGGCATTTGAAAGCTATAATGCAACTCTTTTTTGTTTTTTGAAAGAAACAAAGGCTATGAGAATACTGAGGACCTATGCTAGATAGGAGAATTGAGATAAGATTCTCTGAAGAGCTAATAATTATGAATAAAAGGAGGGAGACAAGCAAAGAATGCAGAAAAGCGTTGTAAGCAGAGAGAACAGCATGTGCAAAGAGAGGCTGAAACGACACAACAGTGGCTAAAGCATAGCGAGCAGGTAGCAAACATGGTACAACCCAGGGTTGGAACTACAGGCAGGAATTAGCTCACCTAAAGCTGTAAGTCATTGGAGAAGGTAAATAAGAAGGGTAGTGATGGAATCTGATTCATATTTATTTCATGGGGAAGGAATAAATCTCCTTCTTCTGGTTTATCAACTTTAAAGATTTGGAATTTTTATCTATAGTATTAGGAAATGGGGGATTTCATTACTAATCCCATTTTTTTTTCCATTATGCTACCTTTGTTAAAGTAGTGCTATTGCCAAAAGCATCTAAAATTTTTTTATGATAAATTTCATATCCTGACTCTGTGATGATAAAAAATTTGTTTCAAATAATTGTATTTTCTGTGCTAGCAATTTAAATTTAAGACTTTTCATTACTTTTTAATTTTCCAAAATAAAACACTGAAAACATTAAGGAGCATGTTGTAAGAAAGAAAAAGAGGATAGGCAGATGAAGAGACAGAAATACAGATGAACTTTGGAGAAAAAGAGATAAGTCTGAAGAAAATTTTTAGTAATTGTGCCAGGTGATATGTTTCATAAACCTTATTTGTCTCTTAGTAAATCTTTAATAAAATCTCTATTGCAAAGAAAAATTTGTATATATGTAGTAAGAATGCAACGCATGCACTTTGTTAGTAAATAATGCTATACTCCACAGAATGTTACTCACTTTGAGAACACCTCGTTTTTTGTTTTTCCAGTTATAATGAGAAATAACTGACATACATCGCTGTATAAAGAATACGGCATGATAAGTTAGTTTATCTTGATCTTAATATGCAATCATCATAGACCAGAGATATCTGTTTCCTGTCTCCAAAACTTTTTTTTACAAAACAATGCATGAGTAAAGTTCAAGTTACATTCTGAATATAACTGGTAGAATGTCAGACTCCTATGCACAATTTTGGAAAAGTTCATTAAGTATCAACAAATCTCCACTGATGCTAGAGCTAAGAGACACCAGACTTATACTCAGTGTGGCCATTCTCTCCTGATTTTACCCTGAGCAAATATCTACAGTGCCTTTCATAATTAGCTCTTATTTTTTCCTAGTGTTAGACAACGAGTCCCCCAGTCCCCCTAGTCTCATTCTAAAAAGAAAAGGTTAAGGAAATATTAAAACTGTGGATAAAACAATCAAAGCAATGAGAATGGCAATTACAATGAAAAAGCAAATATTACTACACACAAACTGCCTATTAACAATCATATTAGCTGTTTGGTGATCAGGGTGTATGTAATATTTTAAGCATTATTTCAGAATGATAATGCCATTGACATATAAATATTATGAAACTACATTATCATCTTTCCCACTTAAAACAATGGGAAATAGACTCCACATTAGCACTTGAGTAAAGAATATACTATTTTCAGGAAGGAGGTTATTGACAATAAGTGGACAACTGCTGCAAGAGAGAGATGCCAAGTGTGTGTAAGAGGCTAGTGTGCAGAGTATAGTGAGGAAGAGGGGGAAGGAGACGTCCAAAGGTGAGTGGGAGGCAGACATGTACACAAGTGCCTTGTAGGGCATGATGAGAACACTGGATTTTATTCTGAGTGAAATGGGAAGCAAATGGTAGGTTTTGAGTTATTATCTGACTCGTATATTTGATCCCTCTGGCTGCTGTATGGAGAATAGACCACAGAGGCCAAGAGAGTGAAAATAGAGATGCCAACTATTGAATAGAAAGCTACTGCAATTGACCAGTCGAGAGCTGATTGCAGGCCTGCTGTAGGGTGATAGCAGTAGGATGGTGAGAAATGGTAAGATTCTTGATATATTCTTAAAGTTCATGCAATGTGGACATCTAGTTAATGCAAAAGAAAGTAAATAGTCAAGGACAACTCCAAGGCTTTTGACCTGAATAACTAGAAAAATGGAAATGAGGCTAAGAGAATAGACATGGGAAGTACAAATTTAGTTTTGTACAAGTTAAATTTGAGATTTTTTTTTTTTTTTTTAAGATACCTAGATGGTATAAAGGGTAGGCAGCTGGATATATGACTCTGAAGTTAGGAAAAGGAAGCATATTGAAGAATTAAATTGTGAAGTTACCAGTATATATTATAGATAAAATTTAATGAAAATAAGTTAAATATTTAAGTCCAAGGGTATTTTTTTAAGTTAGTCCATTATTTTTTCAAGTAAATAATTATTCTCAATTTTACCAGTTTTCACAAAATGATTGGTTAAAATGATATATATTTACTTGCACATTGAAAAAGAATGCACTAAATACGTCTGAAGGAGCATAAAGTAAGTTAATTCAGCTATTAGAGGCACTGGGAAAATCTAGCTCAAGGAATTTCAATGAGCTAAATTCCACAAATAAAATGAATAAATGAACTCACATAAGGGAGCAAGCTAAAAATTACCAAAAATGTTCACTGTCTTCTTTTAGATCAAATAATACTTTCTGATGATATTTCAAGTTACTTCATTTTTAAACCATGACTAATTACAATGGTAATGCTTCCAAAACCAACAATGATCTCACTTTTAAAACATTCTTGTCAGGATAACATTTTCTTACTAAAACATTATACTCATTCATTTTAGCCAATCCTAATATTGAGTTCCCAAAAGTTTAATCAGCTATATTTTTAAATCAAATAGGCCAATTGTTATAAGATTGAAAGGGTATCCAAAAATGTTATAAAAAAAATAAATCACTACTTTAAATGGTAGTCTGAAAAAAAATGCACTTTTTCCAGGAAGAACAACTATATTTGATCACATGCCATATTTCCAGAGAAGATACATATTGCCCAAACTTGATCTTTTGTGCTCATTTTGGCTGAAAATTAAAAGCTATATTAGGAACGTTTGCAGTGATCTTGAACTAGACCACTGTTGGTATGGCTCATTGATTAGAGTGTTAGCCCACGCACCAAAGGGTCTTGGATTTGATTCCTGATCAAGTGCACGTACCTGTGTTGCAGGTGTGCACCCTGCCCCCTGGTCGATGTGTCCCTCTTGCCCCCTCCCTCCATCCCTTTGACACTCTCTCTGAAAAGCAATGGAAAAAAATATCCTCTGGTGAGGATTAACAAAAAAATAAAAATGAAATGAAATTGATCTCCTATGCATTCTAATTACTAATGAGGTTCTCAACTTCTTATGGTGCTGAAATGGTCAGTTGAGGAAATATCAGTGGGTGTAGTCCTGGGCCATGAGTTTAACCTCTTGTACTCTGGACTCACATCAGAAGTGAAATAGGATGCTGGAATTAGGAGAATAAGATTTGGTAAAATGTTGTAAAAGATTTTATTCTATCTTTTGACCAACTTTAATGGTGTAAGTAAACAAATGACCTGCAAGTTTCATGGGAAATGTTTCATAAAGACAATTATTGTTTGAATTCAGGTATAAACCAAGTAGAATGACAAATCTAAGTAGAAGGAACACTTCTAAACAAATGACAACCCCGACTAAAAAGCACTTAATACCAAATAATTTTATTCTCAAAAATTCCTCTAGGCTTAGAAGAGGAATATAGCTTAAATACAAATTCTAACATTACGGAAAATATCTTCTATGAAATTATAAACAATGATTTTAAAATATGTCTGTATTTTTTATTTCTATGTCAAGTTTCTAACTGAAATGCTGTAGCATGAGTTTGAAAAAATAGTTCAGAAAAAAACACTGTTCTCAGAACAGTAAAAAATAGTAACAATAATGGGAAGAGCTACGTTTATTAAATGCTTACTAAGTACCAAGTTCATGAATTATCTTTTGGGATCTCATAATGATCCTATGGAATTAGATATAATTACATTACTATCTTTATTCCAATTTACTGAGGGATTACAGATGGTTAAATTAAAGCACCTTTCAGCAAATACTTGACACAATCTTAACCTAGGAAACATTTCAAATGGCCTTAATTCTAAAGGAAGAAAATTTAAGGGCAACTTCCTTCCTTTTTAATAATATTTTTAATAGGAAAGACTTACATCTTCTAGGACTATTTTTGTGTAGATGGGACCTAGTTATGGATCATGAAATAAATTTAATAATTCATAAACAGCATTTTTTAAAAAAAAACAACAACACTAAAACTAACTAGAATTAAAAAGTCTGGTCATTATAATATAAATAGCAAGGACTAAGTATTGCTTCATGAAATCTGCTTATGTAGCTGTGTACTGTCATAAGGTAAAAGGTATTTCTTACCATGGGTCTCAAACAAAATTGATTGAAAGCCACAATGCTATATAGAGTCCCAAGGCATTTTTCATATGAAATATAGCTGACATGAAAAGTTATTTAATTATATTCTAATGATTGATATTTACAGGATATATACTTAAAATATTTGGGTTGTTTTGTAATTATAGTAAAATTATTGGCATGCTGAAGAGCAAACTCTACTGAAACATGCAAAGAAATTCTAGGAATGTAGCCCGATCAACGGTTTTCCCAAGAAACATAAACATAAAGTGATTTGTGAAGCAACAAACACAATGTTTAAAGAAAGTATCTGAAAGAAACCAGGGCTCCTTGAAGAAATGGTAATTCCAGGTCTGGGCAGAAAAATACAACATGAACATGGAACATCTTGCATCATAAAGCAAAGAAGCTATTAGAGATTAGGTTGTGTCAAAACGACATAGGAAGCAGCTTAAAAGCTTCCCATAAATCACATATGGGACAATTTGGCTTAAAAGAGAGTGATACTGACACACAAATATATGAAAATTCAAAAGTTCAAATTGATCATCTCCATATCAACTTATTATTCTAAAATTGGTTAAATAAAGGAAACAAGTATTTTTCCTGCCTTTCTTCGTCGTTTTTTGCACTTATATCAAGAAGTTCATGAAGGGAAGATCTTCTTTGAAGGAATTCAAGGTTAAAAAAAAAAAGACAAATGTAGAAAGTCACCAAATTATAATCCCCTAGTGAAATAATGAGTGATCAGTAATGGCTGCTAAAACCATTAGATAAAAGATTGATAAGGAACTTTATAATACATAAATCAGGCTGGCAACATCTGAACCCACTGATCAATTTTAACATGACTAAAAGTGGGGCAAGGCTTCCTAATGGGAGATAGTAGGAAGTACATATAATCAATATGAAGTATTATTGCCCTAAAAGAGAATTTGAACCTAATCAGTTCTCTATATCTACTACCTACTAGTTGTAGGAAACACAGGGGGATAGAAAAATGTGTTTGTTTGTTTTTAAATCCACAAATGTGTAATTACTAAATTTAAAATATGGGAAATTCTATAAGATCTGGTTTCTTCAATAAATAATAGCAAGAAAAAATAGATGGGAAATCGTTAAAGATTAAAAGAAATTTAAAAGATACAGCATTATAGACTTCGTTAGGATTCTGATTTGCACAAACAAATCATAAAAGGACTTTTACAAAATTATAGAAATTTGAATACAGACTAGATATCAGATAACATTGAGGACTTATTTTTTATTTTGTTAAGTGTGATAATGGTAATGAGGCTTTGTGATAAGGATAATGTTTTGTAAAATCTTAAGAATAAAGCATAACATAAAAATATAATTAGCAGACTGATATGTAACAAATGCTTTGATATATAGCCCCTTTTCAAGAAAAACATTTCAGCCCTGGCTGCTGGTGTGGCTCAGTTGGTTGGGGCACCAAAAGGTTGCTGGCTCCATACCTAATAGGGGCCATGCAGGGGCAGCCCATGATGTTTTTCTCTCATCTTCCTTTACTTTCTTCTAAAAATCAATTAAATATGCATATATTCTATCTAATAATTCTAACTAATAAAAGAATAATATGCAAATTGACCATCACTTCAACACACAAGATAGCTGCCCCTATGGGGACACAAGATGGCTGCCTCAAGATGGCCGGCAGGAGAGGGCAGTTGGGAGGGACGAGGCCAGCAAAGGAGCGCAGTTGGGGGTGATCAGACCTGCAGAGGAGGGCAGTTAGGGGCAACCAGGCATGACGGGGAGGACAGTTTGAAGGTACCCAGGCCTGCAGGGGAAGTCAGTTAGGGGGAACTAGGCCTGCAAGGGAGAGAAGTTGGGGGTGACCAGGCTGGCAGGGGAGGGCAGTTAGTGGCAATCAGGCTCGCTGGGAGCAGTTAGTCATCGATCAGGCTGGCAGGTAAACAATTGGGAGTCAGAAGTCCTGGATTGTGAGAGGGATGTCCCAGATTAGAGAGGGTACAGGCTGGGCACACACACAAACCCCCGTGCATGAATTTCGTGCACTGGACCTCTAGTGTAATATATAAAACTCTACTGTGCAAATAGACTGAATGGTGGAATAAACAAACAATTGGTTACTACAACGTTCGATGATCACCAGGGGGTGCATGCAAACATGGCAGGCAACTGACAGCAGAGCACGAAACATGGTGGGTACCAGCCACGGCAAGATGGTGGAGCAAGTGGGGGCACCCAATCACTGTCATTGGGGTGAATCTCTGGGAGTTACTAAAAATTCTTTGCTACCACATGCCGTGGTCCCGCCAGGTGCTTGCACCTACTGTGTGTGTGTGTGTGTGTGTGTGTGTGTATGAAGATTAACAACAAACATTTTGTGTGTGTGTGTGTGTGTGTGTGTGTGTGTACACACACACACACACACACACACAAAATGTTTGTTGTTAATCTTCACCTGAGGATATTTTTCCATTGATTTTTAGAGTGGAAGGGGAGAGACACAGAGAGAGAAATATTGATGTGAGAGAGACACACCGATTGGTTGTCTCCCACATGCCTGACCAGGACCTGGGATGGAGCCTGCAATTGAGGTACATATATCCTTGTCCAGAACTGAACCTGGGGCCCTTCAGTCTGTGAGCTGATGCTCTATCCACTGAGCAAAACTGGCTAGGACAATAAAAAAATATATATATTTTTAAAGAAAACATTTTATCTTTCTGGTAGATATTAAAATTCCAAATCACTAAAAATACACTGTGACCCAAATTCCTACTTTCAAAGTAAGATATTAAGGCTATCTCAGCTGGGTTTATGTCTGACAGCTAAATTTTGTTCTGCTTCAGGATGTTTTTCCCATTTAAAATGTAAATATACACTCCACATACTTTAAAATGTCACTAATATAAATACTAGAGGCTCGGTGCATGAAATTTGTGCATGGGACCAGGGGTGTGTATCCCTCAGCCCAGCCTGCCTCCTCTCCAACTGGGACCCCTTTCACAATCCAGAACTACTGGCTCCCAACTGCTCGCCTGCATGCCTTTCTGATTGCTCCCTAACTGCTTCTGCCTGCCAGCCTGATCACCAACTAACCACTCACATGCCAGCCTGATTGATGTCTAACTGCTCTCTTGCCAGCCCGTTTTGACCCCAACTTTCCTCCTCTGCCTGCCTGGTCATCCTTAACTGCCCTCCCCTGCAGGGTTGATCGCCTCCAACTGCCCTTCCTTGCAGGCCTGGTCACTCTCAACTGCCCTCCCTTGTAGGCCTGGTCCCTCCCAACTGCCCTCCCTTCTGGCATCTTGTGTCCATATTAGGGGCAGGATCTTTGACCACATGGGGACAGCTATTGTGTGTTGGAGTGATGGTCAATATGCATATTACTCTTTTATTATATAGGATAGAGGCCTGGTGTATGGATGGGGCCAGCTGGTTTGCCCTGAAGGGTGTCCCGGATCAGGGTGGTGGTTCTCTTGGGGCATGGGGAGGCCTGAGCGAGGGGCCTGTGGTGGTTTGCAGGCCAGCCACAGCCCCCAGCAACCCAAGTGGAGGCCCTGGTATCTGGAATTTATTTACCTTCTACAATTGAAACTTTGTAGCCTGGAGCAGAGCCAAGCCTCCTGCTCACTCTGAAGCTGGCAGCCATTTCTGTTTGGATTTGTTTACCTTCTATAATTTTGTAGCCTTGAATGGAGGCTTAAATTGGCAAGGGCAGGGGGAAAGCTTGGCTTTCTCTGTTGCCTGGGAAGCCCAAGCCTCCCTCCTGCTCTCTGTGGCTGTAGCCATCTTGGTTGAGTTTATTTGCATACTTACTCTGATTGGCTGGTGGGTTTGGCTGGTGGGCATGGCTTGTGGGTGTAGTATAAATATTGTGTTAGAAACTTACGAAATAGCAGAACCGAAGGACAAACATGTTTCATGATCTTCTTGAAGCATTGAATGGATTTTCTTCCCTGTAGCTTTACTTATAGATGTCTTCAGTTTCTTAGCCAGTTTTTTGGGTGTGTTAGCTATGGAAGATTCTTCTGTACAGCAACTATATAATTCGACCTTTATCTGAAAGTCTGGCCTTGCTTCATTACTAAAAACAATAGTATTCATGTTAGGAATTTAACTCAGAAAATAAAATTATAATACCCTTTGATATTTTCATACATTTAAAATCAGCATATAGGTTTATGTTCATATATGTTAATGATTCAGAATCTCCCAGTGTATATTTAGTATCTAAATGACCTGAAAGAGTCACTGAAACTTCTAGAGCTACCAGCTTCTAAAGTAGGTCAACCTTAATTCAATTTAACCGGTATGTCCAGGCATATTACTTAAAGAAAAAGAATAAAATGTTCCAGTCATTTTGTTGCTAATGCTACTTTTTCTTATCATTCCTATAATACAGCTATATTTAAGGTATTTACATTATACATGTGATTTCTGAAATGACTATTCCCCCAGAAGAAAAAATGTTTGAAAACAAAAAAGGGGAAACAAAGGTTTCTTCTGCTAAAACCTTTAATTTTCACTTCTTTTTTCATAGTTCAGTCCATTCACCACATGCTGCTACCTCCCCACTGAAACCCATTCTGCTTTGTGCCTAATAACTCTAAAATAACATTTCAATATTTTATTATATAGGGGAAAACAAACAAAAGAATGATGTAAAGAGATATACTCAAGGCATTAATTCCTTGAGGACAAGTGCTGTCTTAATTTCTGTATTTTTAACCTAGCATAAAAGGTACTCAAATATTTATTATACCAATAGGCAGAAATTTTGCAATTTTAGCAAACACTAAGATTGGCTTTGCCCTTTGTCAGACACAATCAACTACCTTTCTCATAAAAGACTGAGGTGGTACTAACAAAATATGCTTAAAACTGCAAAAGAGGTCCATCAAATACATGTTGCCTGTAGATGATACATCAGTCTCAGAGATTGTAAAAATGCAGCCTTTTTAAGATTTAAATGTCCCATTCAAAGTTTGCATAAATCCTAGGAATAATTTCCAGATATCTTCAAAGTTTATTATTTGGCAACTGTTAAACATACAGTATTCCTGGTAATGACTAACAAATGTCAATATTTAGAGGAAAACCAGAGATTCATAAATATTGAACACTTATTAAAAACAACCATAACAAAAAGCACATTTTTAAACAACATTTAGAACATTTGACTGCTATTATTTTTAGAACAATTTAAAATATTTACAGAATTTTTTAAAAAGAATAAATCATATGTTGTCTTCCCAAGTAACTTAGATTGTTCTTTCCCAGAAAAAAAAAAAGATTTTTGTCTTTATGATAAAACAAACAATGGTTTTTTTAGTCTCAATTATATAAGCATTTGGTGATATTTTAGAGATCCTAAATCAATTGTTTGGCTCAATAAAGCTTATAAAAAAGCCTGTGCTGCTGCTAACAACTCTGAACAATGCATTTTATTCTCTGTGCTACACAATTATGGGACACTGGACAGAAGCCACAAAACATGGTTGCAATAGTTTTTTTTTTTTTTGCTGTGTTTTTTTTTTTTATGATATGTGAGTGGCAAAACTTGTACTCTCAAATGTCAACTGTATACCTCGATAGCTGAATGTGGCAAAAACTATGTATACTGATTTTATTTTAAGAGTTAAGAAGCTACTGATATTTACATATTAAGATAGTGTCTTTGAAACCCTGAAAGAATTACAAATCACATGCTGATTTAGGCCCACAGAACCTTAGGAAAGGGCCAGCAAAGACTTATGTTAGTTAAAAATGGTATCTATGGCTACCTAAGGAGTTCTTCCTGGTGCTGTATTATGATCACAATAAAATGAGCCTGTAAAAGAGCAGAAGCAATAAAAACAGCCCTGAGGATCACCCATTTTTTACTGTTTTGGAGTACATGAAAGAAGTCCACCATAAGAAAAAGAACATCTCAAATTTTACTAAAGTGCTTTTCCTCTGGCACATATTTCAGGAACATCTCATAAAGAAAGCTGTAATACTAGTTTAGTATTTTTGTAACTAAATCTCCTATATGAGACATAAGAATCTGTTTTATGCCCAAATTCACTTTATATAAAGAATTGTTATGAGATTCCCTTGTATTCATAGTTTAGTTAATAATTAAACTACAAGTATTTATAAAAATTAATAATATCAATGTCAAAATATTTCTAATAATATTACATGATTTCCATTTTACTTTAAATTGGAAAATTCCAAATGGGCTTCTTTTGAATAAAGTAATTTTTAAAATAAATGTAAATACTTAAAGATCTAATGCTACAAAAATAACCCAAACACTCAATAATTATACCCTCCTTTAAAAAAAAGGAGAATTTTAGATTACTTTTATTTTCTAAAGATAAAAAAATACTTACAATATGGTTACATTTTCAAAACAAATATCTGTGATTGTTTTGTCGACAATTATCATGTCAGTATCAAAAACTTCAGCTCCCAGTTTGAATAAACAAAAAATGGCATAGCGCTGTGATTCTAGATAGAAAAAACAAAACCATTTAAAGCCATGATCCATGTGACAAATCATGCCTATATTATGCTAAAATCTACTTGAAAACAAAAAACATTAGCTTAAGTATTTGTTAATAGATTCTTATTTCTGTACATTGTAATCCTTAACTTTTTTATAGTGACTGTTCTGTCAATATATATTAATATTTTATTCAATTAACTAAACTATGGAATATAAAAAAGTTAAAAAATAAGCCTCTTGCCAGCCTAAAACAATCACCAAACTCATAAATTTTATCCCCAGAAAACTGTTTAAGCTTTAATTAATAGCAACTTTATTATTACATATGTTATTATTACCTTTATCATTTTGGTTTCCAAGTTTATTTAAGAAAAAAATGTTTTCTATTATAAAAGGTTAAGAGCAGGCACGTTAATAACAGCAAAACATTTTCCACCAAACAGCAAGGGAGGAAACCACAAAAACAATAAAAAGTAGACATGTGGACACAAAAAACATTGCTGCTGGGCCTTTTAATTTGGTGATGTGTTTAAAAAGTATTAGGAGATTAAAGGGCTAAGTCCTCATTATTAAGAAAATATGGCTCTTCAGAAAAACTTATTTTCTGTAGTAATCAGAAAGATGTACTTAATCCCCACATGTATTCTTTTGGAAAGTAAATTACATCTCCTAATTGAATAACAAAATACTAACCTGATTTTGGATTCTTCATATAAAACTAATTATGCTCAATATGATTCAGTTTTTAAAATATGAGAAACAAAGAAAGCTATCACAATAGACAAGAAAGATAAAGGATTATCATATCTTTTTTGCTTTGCCTCTAACAGCTAGAAATCATTTGAGGTTAATTTCCATGACCTCAGCATCACATGAATTTGTGAAGACTATATAAAGCTGTAAAATGCTGAAGGGGAAAAAAAGAAAATCAGATCAAGCTAAAAATCTTTCTCTCTTACATCCTGTTAAATAATCTGAAGAAACAAAACAAGGCAGAAAATATGTCCTAGTTTCTGGTGAAATACAAGAAATGTTGCCTTTACCTTCACTCCTTAAACATTCTCTTTTGTTCCACATTTCCCTTCACTTACAACTCATTACATATTGTCCTTGCACAGGCTCCTATCAACAACTAAAATCACATTAGATATGCATTATTTTAATTAGTATCAAGTAATTACAGCATATTTATACTAAAAATTAAAAAAAAAACACAGTTCAGCAACATTTTTCTTATTCTGTCAAATGTCATCAATTTATTTCAGTGTGGAAGCAGTCTTTTCTAACATTAACATAAATTTTCTATACACTGAAAATAATTTTTAATTACAAATTTCAGTTATACATACGTTCTTTATTGCTGAAGTGATCAGAGTCTTTCCACATTAGTGGTATTCGAATATCTATAAAGAGAGGGGAAATGACAGATAATGATTTTGGTAAATTTCTTAGAGTAAAATGAACCTGTGAATTCCATAATGGATTGTGACCATTGAAGCCATTAAAATTTGTAATTTAAATATTCTAACACAGGTAATATTTTCTTTAAGAAACAGCTTAGATTAGATATAGAAAATGTTATATTTATGTAATTTACTAAAAACTGTAGCTCAAATATATTAAGTGAAGTCTTTAATAAGCTTATGCTGTAACATCTTCATTTTGAGATTTATGTGTTTGTTTTTTTTTAAGCAAGCAAATTATAGTTTACTAATTGTAAATTCACCCTAGTGTTGAATTACTACTGGGGGTAGCAGCAAAAGTAGTGAGATACACTTCAAAATGTATAGCCTAGTAGAGGTAGAAAAGACTTCAGAACATCTACCCACTATGCAAACTTTAAAGGAAAATTAAGTGTCTTGTCTAAGGTCATTGGTTTTTGGGGGTAGGCCCAACTCTTGACAAACAAATCCAAACTCTCCATTAAGATTTAACTTGTCTAACAAAAGAATTTGCAGCTCTTTGTATATTCATGGTACAAACTGCGGCATTTCTCTCAAAAAATAAAACTAAAGAGAGGAATGCATTACTTCTTTCAGTCCAAGAAAAAAAGTCTTGTGTTCTAAAAGTGATTCATTCTCTCATTTACACATTCTTCAAACTCTAAAGTAATTGTGATACTGGTCTTTATTCCAGAAGTTAATCTAAAACTGTAATGTAGTCAAACTTTTTCCTTCCTACTTCCCTCCATTCTTCCCTGTATTTTCAATACTAGATTAATAGTACCAGTAGTAGTATTTTTTTCTGACATTCCTATGCTCTTATATATTTTCAAAATTAGAGGATAAGGTTCTACCAAATAGATTAAGATGTGTGAACTACAGTGTTCTATAGCACAGTTGAGATCTCAATTGTAAAGTATAGCTAGTTTTAATTACTCAAAGTACAAAAATTGTATAAATACCTCAAGTCTTTGTGGAAAACTTGTTTAAGATACTTTCTAATACATTTAAGATGTTTATGTGCATATTTTAATAATTATGCCACTTTCAAATAATTAAAAATCTTTATGAAATAAGCTGTTTGGCTTGTGCTTCACTTTTAGATTCCATTATCTTTTGCTTAGATTTTTATTTGCTTATAATTTAGTTTTTAAGGTTCTTAATGCCTATTTCTAATTTTCTTTCTATAAAAGTTTTAAATAACTCCTTCATCTGTAATCTACCTAACCAGGCAGGTATATATGAGTGCCCTTCCCACTGCTGCCCTAGCAGTTTTTATAAAAATACTAGAGGCCCAGTGCACGAATTCATGCACTGGTGGGGTCCCTCAGCCTAGCCTGCAGGATTGGGCTAAAACCGGCTCTTCAACATCCCGAGGGTCCTGGATTGTGAGAGGGTGCAAGCCAGGTCAAGGGACCCCATCAGTGCATGATTGGGACCAGAGTGAGATGCAGATTGGCCAGCTGGGGAGGACTGCAGGAGGGCTCCAGGGTTTATCCGGCCAGTCTTTCCCAGTCCCCATTGGCCAGACAGCAAGAGTGATCTAACCTACTGGTCAGAGTGTCTGCCCCCTGGTGGTCAGTACACATCATAGCGAGTGGTTGAGTGGTCTTAGCATATCATTAGCATATTATGCCTTGATTGATTGAATGGCTGACCAGTCAACCAGACATTTATCATATTAGGGTTTTATTATATAGGATTACTAATTGAACTCTATGTGTCAAGCTAACCACTTTACATGCAGCTCATCGAATAGTAATTTTTTATATGTTTACCAATTTAATAGTCAAGTGACAGGATTTAATTGCTTAGATTTATATTTTCTTGATTAACAAGAAAATGTTAATAAATTTTATTGGTCAGCTCAGTGAATCTGTTTGTAACTGAGCTGGCCAATTTATAGTATTTTAAACTTTTTTAACATTATTTATAATATGTACTTTTAAAAGTTAATTAGTAAATCTATGTGAGAATTTAAGTGAGGTAAAAATATAAAAATAATTATTCTTATAAAAATAATTGTTGCACCTCCATTTATATCTAATAGTATTATTTTCTTTACTGATTTAATGCTGCTATCTTTATCATATATGTCATTCTAAGTGTCTGTTCCTTGGCTACATACTTTATGGATCTACTTGAATAATTTATTAGTGACAAATCTTCTATCAGTACCATACTATTATAATCACTGAACCTTTATAATCTACTTTGCTGTTACAAACACATCTTCCCGCAACATCTTACTCTTACTTGCTAATTCCTTTGTATGAATTTTAGAATATTTTGTCAAATTTCCTTTTCCAAAATGTTTTACTATAATTCTATTGTCCAAATTAATTTGGGAACTGATAACATTATAATATTCTGTCTTTACAGAGTAGCACTATACAGTTACCCTCACATTTTTATTAAGGTTATTTTTGAGGGTAGTCGATTTTTTAATGTTTTTATTGTAAAGGAGATTTTGTTGTGGTGTGTTTTTTTTTTTGTCCATCATATATCCTTACAATGTATTGCTGGTTTTAAGAGCATCTATGCCACTTTTTGTATATTTATCTTGAATCAGCTATTTTTACTGAATTCTTAATTAATTCAAATAATATTTCAATAAATTTCTTAGATTTTCTAGGTCTGCAATCTACTAACTTCATATAATATTGAATATATCTATCTCTTTTCAGTAGTTTCATATTTCATTCTTACCATTTTAGCTAGAATTTCTAAAACTGTCAAATTATACTGATACAATAGACATTGTTTTTTTGTTCTTGATTTTAATGGGATTGCCTTTATTGCTTTATAATTTTGACTTGGCTAATGTCCTGTCAAAGAGTCTGCTTCTTTTGACCACAATTGCTGACTCATTTCATTTCACAACAGTTCTTGTTCACAGCTGTTCTTATTCTAACTATTTACACTATCCTGGGAGGAACACGGACCCTGACTTCCTTTGCTATATACCCACAGCCTGTGGGTCAGTCTTGCCCTTTCCCATGCTTCACTATGTTAGATCCTTAAGAGGAGAAGATGGACACTTATATATTTCCTAGGTGGTCAAGTCAGATGACAAAAAAATATATAAGCCAACACCTAGGTTTCTTAATTCAGATTCAAATATTAGAAATTCCTTTTTGATTCTTGCAAATAGTTGACTCAATCTTAATTTACATTGCTCTTAACCTATGTCTTTTTTTTTTTTAATGACTTCATTGACCTTTTAATGGTAAAATGAGTCATAATAGGATAGCTAACGTAATGTTACCAGGCTCTAGATGTCTACCCATACTTTTCAAAAGTAAAAACTGAAGCACTTTGTATACTGATTTGGCTTTAGTCACTGAATTAGTAGCCAGCAAGTGAGCTCAGACTTAACTACAATGCAATTATTTCATGTTTAGCAGAAATAATCAGAATAAACCTCAATTATTCTTTTTAACTTTTATAAAGATCTATCCAGTGAGTGGTCAATCTGGAAATGAAAAACCCAGGTATCTACAGGCAATCAATCTCAGAAAAAAATTATTTTTTAAAAAAAGGTGAATTAGTTTTTAATTTCCTTTGTTTTTACAAATATACAGATGAGATATAATTAAGTTAAGCAAGGAAGAAAAGTAATTACACATGCATCCCATTTTCTGATACTTTCGGTTCCTTCATTTAATTTAAAATTATCTTTTGGAAAAAAGGAACACATGAAGAAATAAGTTTAATTTCTACACTTGAGTATCTGTGGTCAGGACACTAGTTTTTCTCTTACTTTATATGCTTTTGCTTAGGCATTCTTCTAAATGTACAGTTAAGGCTCATTTCATGAATTGCTGTGGTCAATAAACCATTATCAAATGACAACAGATATTAACTCTGTCATGTCACCTGAGTATTCAAAAGCAATTTAATATATCTCATTTGTGTACTGAGTAGCACTGTATCAGGAGCAAGAAATGAAGGGTTATGTTTAAGTATTTTTAGAAAATCCCCTTTTGAGATCTACAATATTTTTTATCTATCACATTAAAATATTTTAAATTTAGTGAACAACAACTATGTAAAAGTACTATGTTTGGTATTAAAAGGATATAAGCGGTATAAAACATGTTTTATTCTAGTCTTATAATTAGAAAGATGAAAACACAAATATATATAACTATAAAACAAGCAACTAATTTTTATATAGTTCAGTGTTTTTTTTCTGACAAATTTTTTTGCTGAAGGCAATTCCTCTGGTTTAGAACAATTACATCCTCTGTAAAATTCAGGTCTATCCTTCCTATATGAGAATTTTTTATTATCCATAGAACATTTCTAAAAAAAAAAAAAAAAAAATCCCTTGGGTGAGAAGGCCTGAAATGCAGCAGCAAGGTTCCTGGAGCTAAGAAAAGAAGGCTTTTGGCCAGTTATTACTTAAGGACAAATGGGGGTCTGCTGTTTCCAGTATTTGTACACAGTGCATTATCTAACTAGTGTACACACTAGTCAGCCATGAATTCACTTCAATCCGTGGCATCGCCAAGCCATTGTCTTTAGCTTCCTTAACAGTTTGGAGAAACTGAGACAACACAGCATAAGTGCCATCTAGTGGTAAAGGGTCTCCTAACTGCATTAGGAATTCAGACAAGAGGAAACATTTCTAGCTGTAATAACAGAGAAGACTTTATAGATGAGCAAACAGATCCTGAAGACAGTATTGTTATTTTGAGAGCTGAGTGTCAGAAGCATGAGGAGAGACATGTCTTGCTAAAGCAGACAGCTTATGGATAGGAATAGTAGAAAATATGGCTAGAAAAATAGTTGAGTCAGAATAAAAAACTCAGGGGGAAAAGTTTGGTCTTTATTCTTTGGGCAATGAAGACCAATCATCCATCCAATCAATAGTCACCGAGCAATTACCATGTGCAAAAACTGTGTTAGCTTCGGGGTATACAGAGATGAACAAAGCAACCATAGTGCCAACCCTCATGGAACTTCTAGCCCAGACAAACATTAAAAACATTGAAACTTCTGAGCAGAAAAGGAATGGAGAGTCAAAAGACTTGAGTCTGCAGCCCAAGTCAACCACTAACAGGAAATCATTTAACCTTTGAGTCTAAAGAAAAAGAGAACTACCTACGTATTTCACAAAGCTGCACTGAGAAGAAAACTATACAATATATGTAATATATATGAAACAGTTTGTAAAGTTCTATAATGTGAAGCATAATGGTGAAAATGTTTTAGAACAAATATTCTGATAGAGGTATGCAAAATAAAATGAAGAGAATGGACACAGGAAATTAAAAATCCCACCAACTCTAGAAAGTTACTTTATAAAACTTATTCAGCAATATAAAAATCATCTAAAGCTTACCTGATATAGCAAGCTTTCCTTTACATGCTGTTCGTTCTTTACTTTCAAAATTCACATCACTGTCAAAAGAAAAAAACCTAATGAAAGATAGTTTGTGAAATCTTTGCGAAAGATTGTTCAAACAATTGCTTATTAGAAGGTCTTTTCTAATGTCTAAATATGAAAAGCAAATATGCATCGATGGATAATAATGACTTCCAGTTAATATGAACTACCTGACTCAAATTTACGATGTTTAGTCAACAGCAAGCTGGCTTTAAGGTAAATATACAGAACTATTTCCTTTGACTTTTACATAAGCTCTTCCTTCCCTGATGACTATATACTGGCTTATGCTACCATGAAAGCCTTTTGTAATTACTAACATTTATAAACAATATGTACAATATTTGTCCAGGTCCCAGAAAGTAAAATACCTTGGGTCACCATTACATGAATTATATTTCTAGTTTAACAGATAACAGTTAACAGATAACAGTTGCTTGACAAAGTTAACAACCTCTCAACCATGAACTTGCTGCTGAGGAGTACCTTATCCTTATAAAATATAACAATTTTTAAAATTACTCTGTTGTGTATTTATATTCAGTAAGATACTATTTAATTTCTTTGACATTCCAAAAAACTAAGCATATACTAAAATAATAAATTATCTAAGGTGGAAAAAGGAAGGGATGGCTCTGTAGAGAGAATAAAATGTAGAAAATATCATGACAATAGAAAAAAGTCTCAAAGGAAATTCTTAGGGTAACAAAACACTTCCAGGTCTGACTTTACAATATACTATTACCATTAAAAAAACAATATTTTTAAATAGTTATTTTCTATTAGACCAAATCAGTTCCATCCTTAAATATTTCTCTAATATTCCTATTTCCTAATATCCTACATTTAGAGTTTGGCATTCCATTTTTAGAGCAGTATTTCCTAGAGTATTCTTCTTTGCACTTTTTCTTGGTCTATATTTTTTAAATTGGTTAGCTAATTAACTGCTGGCTAACTTAATCAGGTACTTCAAATATTTATAAGAGAAATTTTTCAGTTGAATACTGTTTAAATTTTTTTTATTTTTGTAATTTATTGGTTTTAGAGTGATAAGAGGGAAGGAGAGAGGTAGGGAGGGAGGGGGAGGAGATAGAAACAAAAATTTGTTTTCCCACTTATTTATGTATATACTGGTTTATTCTTGTATGTGCCAAGCCTGCAACATTGGTGTAGCAGAATGACACTCTAACCTACTGAGCTACCTGCCCAGGGCCTGTTTAATTTTCTAAGAAGGCTTTTATAGAAACAGTGGGTGGGAGCTTAAAATATATCTAACTAATTTTCAGAAGAGAATGACTACATCTCATTGCATTTCATTCAGGATGCTTGTTTTAAAAGATTGCATATATTCATTGTCATGTGCCCAAATTTGAAAATAAAATATAACAGCCTACTTTATTTTTTTTTATTATAGGTAAGATAAACTTCATATAAGCTAAAATGATCTACTAATGTACTTAAGTTGATAAGCTTATATGGGACACTTACATGGTGTTTATAGACTCACAAATTAGTATAACTAGAGTAATGTAATGTAGTATACTTAAAGACATACATTCTCAGAATCCTATCTTTTATGATCACACCAGTATTTATGGTAAAACTAGAGGCCTGATGCACAAAATCCATGCACAAGAGAGGGGTTATCCCTCAGCCCAGCCTGCGCCTTTTCGCAATCCGGGACCCCTTGTCCCTAATCACCTGCCTGATCACTCGTAACTGCCCGCCTGCTCACTCCTTTTTTTTTTTTCATTTTCTTTTACATTTATTAAATTATTATCTGTGCACATATTTTAACATTGCTCTCCTCTCCCATATATACCCTCCCTCCCCAGAGTTTTGTGTCCATTGGTTGTACTTATACGCATGTATACAAGTCCTTCATTTCTGCCAGCCTGCTCGCTCCATACCACTTGCCTGCTGACTCCTTAACGCTTGGCTTACTAGTCTGCTCCTTAACAATGCTGGAGAGGCAGGAGAGGCTCCCGCCACCACCACTGTGCTCGCCTGTCTTAAGCCTGGCTTCTGCACTGACCACCAGGGGGCAGCTCCTGCGTTGATTGTCTGCCCCTGGTGGTCAGTGCACATCAAAGCGATGGTTGTTCTGGTCATTGCGGTCGTTCCACCATAATTAGGTTGCTGGGCTTTTATATATATAAATAGAAAATTCACTTAGTGGAAAATAGAAGTACTCACTGATTATTTCATAATAATGTTTCATTAAATCACAAATTTAAGAGTCAAGTTCTACATTTTACACTTGAGTTTAGTTTGTCATGTTGAAGAACATTTACTTGCTTATTACTTCATCATAGAGTGAAAAATTCAATTGAATAGTCTACTATATTTTGATGAAAATAATATACTGACAGGTCCAAAAACAAATCTCCCTTTCCTCAATTGGAAAAAGAAATACAATATGCATATAGTTGGTTGGCATTTGTAAGTAATATTTCTGAAAACACCTTCTATATAAGCAATGAATAATATAAATTCTTAAAATATTTATTTCAATGAAAAATATAAGGAAGCTTTAATATTGTAAGTAACTTGAGTGTTATGGAATAAGCCATAGATTATGCTCAAGTTGAGATCCATTAGCTATTATTAAATTGGATTAAACTTGAGGCTTTGGCAGGCAAGTAATATTCTGAAATACTAGAACCACCAAAAGCAAACTTGTTGAATATTTATCCCAAAAAAATTTCCCTTCCCAACTATTCAGCCACCTGGCAAAGTATAGCTTTCTTCCCTATAATTATAAATTGCTTACATAGGTATTACCAGGACTAGTCAACAAATTTATTATGTACAAATATCATCAAACTATAATATAAATTCAATTAACTATGTAATCTTACAAAATAATTAAGACTGTCATAATAAAAGAATTAGAAAGGAAGTAAAGTAATTTAGCCTCATTTTTCTAAAGCTTGGTTTTCAATTCAATAACTCCTCAAACTGTTATTTAGAATGCTAAAATGTAATATTTTCTAATTAATCCAAATTGACAATGAAATTGTTAAACATTATCTGTTTAATAATGTGCTACTGTAGCTAATAGTTTGCTACAGTTAAATAAATACTTGTTTGGAAAATCTGCAATGTTAATGCCAATTCTTAAATGCTATAATTAGAGAGCCAGCCTGAGGAAAAAGCAAATAACCACAAAATTACTCAAACAAAAGTACAGCTAAATAATAGTGAGTCTTATTCTTAGAAACCCAGCTTAAGAGTATTATTTTGCTGAGACTTGTGCTAATTTAAAAGATAGATAAAAATGTAAAAGACAAACTTCTAAACTTTATATTGCTGCCTGTAGGTAAATAAAATGACCAACAGAGGGTGCCAATCAGCCACTTTGTTGCTTAAAAATCTGTATTAAAATTGACTGACTACAGATTACCCTATATTGTAAAATGTAAAATAGCATTTCTTTGCCAAAATTAACAAGCTATGATGAGAAATAGCACAATGGTTAAAGTATTCTCTATTGTCTTAATGAAGTAGTAAAAGAATTCTAAATGGGATTCTATTATTTGAAAGCAAGTTATAATATCCTTCACCTCCAATGCAAATCAGTGAAAACTGATACGCTTAACATGGGTTTTTAGACCATTCTAAAACTATGTGGTAAAATCAATACCTTCGAAGTATCTTAAATTGAGATGAGTTTTCTCTTTCAAACCTTGACATAAATGCTTTTCAACAGACACTAAATGATATCGTTTAAGAAATAAAATCAGTAATGTCTTTAATATAAAGGCCGTCCTCGGGTTACGTACATTGTTTCCTGGTTACGTTGCCATCTCCCATTTATTAAAAAAAAAAAAAAAAAAAAGTTCTGTCATTTTGACTTACGTATATATGTGTTTTATGTTTTTTATTATTTATTTACCACAACTAAAGGTCAGGAATTGCTATCTTTAAAAAATTTTTTTTTTACTGTTTCACTTCATTACTGCTGGGTATGTTTCCATTTGAGTGACATAGGTGCTTATGTAGGTGGGTTCCGACTTAGGGCGAAAATACGTTACATTACACTGAACGTGCAGAACTACCAGCAGTATACAGTTTCCACTTGCAACCTACACATTTTCTTATTTTTAAGTTATAGTATATAGCGACTATAAGAAATTAGTTATTGTGGCATTATTAAAATCACAATAATGTTAAATGGTATACATAATTAGATCCTATAAGTGACTTGGACTAGTATTTTTACAAAGCCAAATAAAGTATTTCAGTAGTTTAAACAAAGACAGGTTGCAGATTGGGGCTGTGCTAAAATGTAAGCTCTGTAAGCATAGGGCTTTTTGTCTATTTTGTTCACTGCTGAATCACTAGTGCCTATTATATATAGTACATTCTAAGGCACTCAATAAATGTAAATATTGAATGAAATTAAACAGGATATGGTCATTTTGATGGAGCAGGTAGTAGATTTAGTAGATTAAGACTATAAAGTCACAGGGTTGAATCTTAACCACCAATAACTTGTTACATTAATGAGTTGTTATTAACCTCTTACTTTGAGCATCTTCGTCTATAAATTGGGGGGAAATATCTATCTACCTTGTTGCTGCTAAATGAAATAATATTTTATATGTATTCCATGTCACACTTTTAAAAAATCCTTACCCGAGGATATGTTTATTGAGTTAGAGAGAGAGGAAGAGGGGAGGGTGAGGAACCATGATGGGTGCCTGCCTTATGTGCCCTGACCAGAGATCGAACCTGAAACCTAGATATGTGCCCTGACTGGAAATTGAAGCCAAAACCTTTTTATGCATGGGACAACACTCCAACCGAGTCACCCAGCCAGGGCTGTATTCTACATCATTCTTTAAAATGTTACATAAAAATGTTTACTTTGTAAATATTTCTATTTTTAGTCTCAGTATTTAACTTGGAATTTATGTGAAAGGAACTAAAACATAAGAATTTTTGAGAACAAAACTTTAATGTATAATTAGAACATTATGGTAATAGGATATTTGACCAGCTACTGATA